CAGCACCTGGCTACATGATATGCATTAGTCCTTTTCAGGACTATACCCGGCTACATGATATGCACTAGTCCTTTTCAGGACTATACCCGGCTACATGATATGCACTAGTCCTTTTCAGGACTATACCCGGCTACATGATATGCACTAGTCCTTTTCAGGACTATACCCGGCTACATGATATGCACTAGTCCTTTTCAGGACTAATCTAGGCACGTTATTACGAATGTCCTTTTATTAGAACTACCAAGCTGCGATCTTGCACAACTGTCATAACTAGGACGAACAGACTACACCAGCGCCGTCCACGTCGATCCTCTCTCTTTTTAAGCGCCGACGCGCTCTTTACAAAAGGGCAGACATCCGAGGATCGACTGGACCTCGAACACCGCTGTTCCATCTGCCTACCTCCGAGCTGTCGCCTTGAACCTGACAACGCTCCTTCAACTGACACTCTCTAACTTCACGACCGAACTCCAGCAAACAATTTCCTGTACATACTTTTGCCAGATTATTAAATAAAATTTGGCTTAAACTTTTACATCCTCGCCTTTGTTGTCCTTGCTTCTATCGTATTACCCTACATTATTTTTCTGCTTGCGGAGTTAACAGCACCTGCTTAAAGCTGCAACAAAGCACCTCCTAATTGGAAGGCACAAAAATTTAAGAAGGCAAAGAGCAGCTGACACCTTCACACGAACCAGTTGTGCTACTCTCTCGGACAACAAACTGTTAAGATTGCATGAATTCTTGTGTCACCCATGTGTAATCAAAATGATACACTTCGTTCGAAGTAAAAACCTACCATACTCCGTTGAAGAAATCCGCACAATGATAGCCAACTACCAAATATGAAACAAAATTAAACCAAATTTCTACAAACCATATAATCTACACCTAATCAAAGCCACTCAACCCGTTGATCGTTTGAGCATTGACTTTAAGGGTCCACTACCTTCCTCATCTCGCAACAAGTATCTGTTAACCATCGTAGATGAATTTTCCAGGTTCATTTTTGCATACCCATACTCAAACATGGAAGCTAAAACTGTAAATAGCTGCCTGTCCAATCTGTTCTCTATATTTGGCATGCCTGCTTACATACATAGTGACAAGGGATCCTCATTTCTTTCACAAGAAACAAAAATATTCCTACATAATTACGGAGTTGTCACCAGTAGAACTACTTATAATCCAGAGGTAATCGCCAAATAGAAAGGTACAATGGTGTCACCTGGCAGTCAATAATTCTAGCACAAAAAACCAAGAACCTTCCAGAATCACATTGGGAAGAAGTCTTGTCTGAAGATTTACATGCTAGTCGTTCATTGTTGTGCACTGCAACTTGAAAACGACTATTCAAGTTCAACAGACGATCAACCAATGGAACCACCTTACCCGCATAGTTAAGTCACCCCGGTAAAATATTGTTGAAACGATATCCCCGGAATAACAAGCATGAACCACTGGTCGATGAGGTGGAACTCTTGGAAGCAAACCCACAATATGCCCACATCAGAAAATTAGATGGTAGTGAGACCACTGTCTCACTTAAACATCTAACTCCAAAAGGAACTGAGGACAGCAGCCTTACAGGTTCATATTCACATGGAATTACCAATATCAACCCAGACAGGAAATCAGTTCCCTAAAGACGGTGATCGTGAACTGTGCATCCAACAAATTATGAACGATTCTACAAAAGGACATATAAATAGCCCACAAATGCTGCGTTGCTCTAGTCAAGTTGCAAAACCACCCTACCGCTTAGACATTTAAAGACTCAGTTTTATTTATTTCTATTTTTTGTCGTAATGCATGTACACCCAATTTCTTTTCCGATGCGGCAGTGTTTGTGATAAAATAATATTATTATTATAGATATCTGCTCTAATTAAGGGATTATTCTCCTTCATAGAAGAGTTATAAAATTGCCATCTTTGTTTACATCTCGTGTGTCTTTTTGAGTTGCATAAAAGTTAAAACCTTAATTGCCCAAAGGTATTTTCTTCACTTTTGTGATTCGCCACAACGATAACAACAAATATTTTTACAACACAATTCTACAAAAATAAAAAAATGCCCTTGCATAAAATTTCCTTTGCGCTCCTCAAATTGTCTCGAGACAGATTAACAATACTTGTAAGTACAAATTTCTGTTTTCTCTTAGAAAACAGTTTGTGAAAATATTTTTCTTTACTTTTACAGCAATAAAAATGAATTTTACTTAAAAATTCGAATGGCGAAAAAAGGAAACCTATATAAGGCGTTGCTGAATTTTAAACAAAATATTCAATTTTTGTGAAAGACATTTTCAGATTAGAGATAAAATCTCATAGGTTTAGAAATAAGCATTCTTTATATATGAGTTAAAATCTCATAGTTTTACAAGCATTCTTCTTTCATCTTCAGCAGTCGAAGTCTGAGACAATTGAATTCTTTCTTCTAAGCATACAATTTTTTCTCTTTAGATAATTAGTAGATTCAAATGAACTCATTTTGGAGTGTATATTTTTATCCACTTTGGTTAAAAAGTGAAAAATAACTATTTAGTAAAATCGAGTGTTTGTCAAATTTAATTCGGTGGGTTTTTGCCAAATTTTTTTACACATTTTGCTAACAACTTTTTATTCATATTTTTTTTTATAAAATAACCGTCTTCATTTTGACGTTTTCTTAAAAAACGGTTTAGACTAATTTTTATTATATAATTTGTTTTATAAATTAAATTTTAAAAACTTTTTAACAGTAATTTTACAAAATAAATACATTAAATTCAGTGATATCAAGATGTCACTAAAACATTACGAGGAATCTGAAAAGGAAACGTCAACGTCAACAAGAAACAAGTGAGACCGTGTGAGGAAAATTCATAGGATGGGACAATTGTGGAAAACTGAGCCAAGTACAAATAACAATACTACTACTAATAATAATAAATCAAGTGCAAAATGGTGTAATATCTGTAAAAATAACTCATGGCACGAACTACTATTGAATAAAAAACAGTAATGATACTAATCAACAAAAGAGTTACAAATGATGGCAATGAGAATGAATTTGTTATAATCTTCCTAAAATCAGATCTTCTGATTCATGTAACACAAGTTTCCACCACTGGCCGGATGTGAACGCTTCGAAACCCAACACAGAACTAAAAATTCCGTCAACTGCGCATCGGCTCTGCTTCCGTTTTACTTACACACTCAAAGAAAAATACAATCCAAGAAATGGTCTTTCTCCCGATTGCTACTAAGATCTGACTTATAAACGAACTTGCGCTACCCCGAATTAAAAAGGACTCGCTCCAATCCAAGTCAAATAAATAAATTTATATTGTTTATACCTTTGATTTTGTTCGTTTATTTCCGATAAATATTGCTAAGAACCTTTGGCACCTTTCTCTAAACATGCAAATTATTGGCAAATTGTAGAGTCGCGGCACGTATAGTCACGATAAATCTGTTTAGAGAGTAAAAAAAGAAAAATCAATTTTTCAAAACACCTTATCGAACTAGTTCACTGAAGTCGTGCCGATGATATAATCTCAACATATGGCGACACATTTATTTTTCTCTGAAAAAATAATAAACAGCAAAAGGTAACTTTAAATGACACTTTGTATACCACCCAAGCCAAAACCAAATTTCCGTCCAAACTGCTTAAAAAAAATAAATAAAATAAAATAAAAAAATCTGGCGCATCAGTTAATTTCTCGGATAACAATATTTCACTAGGTACTAAAAAGAAATGGATGCGAAATAGGAGCCAAAGATCGCTACTCTCTGTTTAAAAATATTTGACAAAAATCAGGGAATTAGCCAATCCAAACGAAATTTTCAGTATCTCGTCATTAATAAATGAATGTTTTCTTTTACTGAATAGGATTTTTAATTGAAAAATTTTGGGAAAATATATTTTTCGGGGGGATGGGGGTGCTTCATTCCTCCTTTTCGATATCTCGTGTGTACTTTTTAATTGAGTGGGGGGTGTTCTTCCATTTTTTTTTTTTTTAAGTACCTGAAGATATTTAGTGAAAAAAATTATTCAATATTGAGTGTGAACATACTGAATTCATCCCGTATCTTACCAAAAATAATTCAAGAAAACTCAAAATAACTTTTTGAAAATTAGTGCATGCATAATTTGTTTTAATAAAACGTGTTATTTTCTTTCTAATTGTACAGAGAAAAAAAACTACACCTAATTTTTTTTAATTGCTTGTAATTTTTTAGTGCAATTTTGTAATTCATCTTGTTGCTGTTCGTTACAAGAGTTTTTTTTTAGACAAAATTTTAATTTTTTTAATCTACAAACAACTTTATTTTATAAAAATTAAATAAAGATATGTTTGATGATTTTTTTTAAATTGTAAAGTTTAATGTTTTTATCGAGTATGGACCTTTTTTAAAAGAATTTTATTTTTCCTTTTAGCAACTGTTAGATTATGTTTGCTATGGGTGTTCAAAAAGGATATTATTCTGATAACTTGCTTTGCCTGATACCTTTGCTTTTTCAGTATCGTAAAAAAAAAATACAGTGTAACCCGGATATAAGAGAGTTCTCGGGACCGGTGAAAAGTCTCTTATATCGGGTTTCTTATATCCGGGTTTGGTCTATTTTGTTTAGGTAAGTATGGGAACACTTCATATAACGCTTTTACGTACAGAAAACTAGTTTATTTAACAGTTATAGACATAAAAAACACAGACAAAAATACATTTTCAATCAGTTTTCAAAATAATTCAATCAAAAATTACTTTTTCTTAAAAAAGTCAGTCATTTTTTATTGTATAGAAATCTCTTTGTTAACATCATGAACACTTTCATACAGTCTGTAAATCATTTTCAATGCGCCATCAGGATTACTGCTTTTTGCTTCAAAGTAGTCTGTCAGAGTTTCAAGCGCATTCAATGCAGCCAGAGAATTTGGCACTGGTTTGTCACTTTCAGAAACTTCAGAACTTACGCTTTCAGCATCATCATCTTCGTCAAAATCTTGATCATCCGATACCACGTGTGATGTCCGTGCCAGTCAGTTCTCCATAACATTGTGTACGGTCGTCGAAGCTGATAAATTCGTCAAAATCTGTTTGCTCCATGCCCGATGGTTGAGAAACTTGATCATTTTCGTCGAGTATTTCTTCCACTCCAGCCTGTGATTCAATGACAAAGCCGGCCTTTTTAAACAATTTTGAATTGTTGACGGTTTGACCATGAAAAGTGCTCGCTTCATCATGTGCATGGCCTTCAAAACAGTTATCTGCTTGGCCACCTCGGACAACGGCTTTTGGCGGTGTAGCATCGATCGCTGCGATTTGCATTCGAACAAGTTCCCGACGATAATACGCTTTGAATGAACGAATGATGCCTTGATCCAAAGGTTGAATGAGACTGGTGGTGTTTGGTGGCATGAACGACAATTTGATGTTTGACAGATTTGTACCCGGCAGTAAGTTATGACAAGTTGCATTGTCCAAAAACAGAATAATCTTTTTCGATTTTTGAGCAATCATTTTTCGATCAAGCGTTTTCATATCGTCAGTAAACAGCTGACTAGTCATCCGGGCTTTACGATTAGCGAAGTAAGAAAACGGCAGAGTTTTGACATTTTAAAAGCAGCGTGGTTTTGCCGACTTACCAACAACTACAACGCTTTTCACTGCTGTCCATGTTTGTGAACTGAAGCATCGTGAGTCTGTCTTTGGGAACTTTTGTCGCATTTGACTGTTCGTCGCCGGCAAATCGCAAAGATCCAGACGGCATGGCTGTAGAAAATTCCGTTTCATCTCAGTTCCAAACATCTTTTGGATCATATCCACGAAAAAGTTGCGGCAAACGTTTGTCACCCATTCGTTGGCAGAACCGTGATCTGCTGACGTTGATTCGCCGTGAAATTTTTTGAACGAAACGTTATTGGCCTGCTTCCAGCGCATGAGCCAGCCATTGCTCGATTCAAAATCAACTTCAAGATTTACAGCCAGTTGTGATGCTTTCTGCCTGATGACGTGATCGGTGACGGTCGCTCCATGAGCACATGCTTGCGTAAACCATTGTGTAAGCGCTTCGTTAACGTCCTTGTGCACGGATTGGCGCTTTCGTTTGCGATTAGTGTTTCCGTTCATTTGCATGCAAGATCTGAGATCGTCTTCTTTCTTGAGAATTTTTGCTGCTGTTGAATAACCGATTCCGTACTTTTGGGCTGCAGCGGCCAGTTTGAGTTTCTTCACTTTGACATCGTCGATGAGCTCCAACTGTTCAGAAAGTTTTTCGTTGAGACGCCGACATCACTAATCGCAATGATCGCAAGCAAACGGTTTTCAGTGGCAAAATTAACAAACAGACAAACTTCTGACTCAACAGAACAGTGGGTAAAGTGAAAGTGCTGTCCAGTAAATGCAACGACAAGCAAAGTCGGCAAAAAGCGGGCGGCGCTACCCTTAGACACACAAAGCAAAATCATAAGGTAGAGGGTGTCTCCTACAGACACAGATTGGACACACCGTGTCTCTAGACTAGTCAAGATTAAGTCATTGAACTTCACTCTCTCTCTAACTGATCTCTGTTTGACCGATTTACGACATCACACTGTCACTCAAAACGAACTCTCTTATATCGGGGAGGACGGGACCAGAGAAAATCTCTCTTATATCCGGGTTTCTCTTATATCCGGGTCTCTTATATCCGGGTTACACTGTATTGTTATTTCCCGTTCAGTCATTTTTGTATCTTGAAAGCACTGTTTTCCGATTCGTCAGTATGAATGCTTGTCTTTATTTCATGTGTCCCTGCTTTCCTGCATTTATTTGCAAGAATAATCAATATTTTATTGAGTAATTTAACGTAAAGTGTTCTTTTAAGTTTCTATTACTCTAAAAACAAATCTTTGTCTTATTTTTCTTGCATAATGTGTTCACCGGGCCACTAAAAAAAAATTTCAGAAAAACAACGAAACTATTTCATTCGAATAAAATAATACTTTATACTGTAATTTTGCTAAAATTTACTCTTAAAATAAATAAATGTTCTTCTTTTCACATTCAAACTGGAATGACTTTTTTAATCATTTACGCTATATTTTTGTTTTGGTAGCGCCTTAATACCTTGAAATGTAGTATTCATGATATTAAGTTTAATAAGCGTATATAGAATAAACACACACACACACACATATATATATATATATATATTCTTAAACTATTAGTTAAGGTGAAAGAAAATTCATTTTTAAACATAAATAACAAATTCTTGATCATTTCACCGATGGTCTTCCATATTGCTTTTGGCTTTTTTTTTTTTTTTTCACTTTTTCGAGCGCTTTTTCGGGAAGGCTAGAATTACAGTGGTTTTATTCTATCCTTTGACTTCACAGGCTGCCGTGCATAAATAAAACGTTATTTTCATTTTGTTTTAAGTAGAATGTAAGCATTACTTTTAGAAAATCCCATTTAATTAACCTTTAAATTTCCTAATTGACTTCCAAAACACATCTCTATGACAAATATTAGATTTTAAATAGATTTTTAAATTTGTCGTTTACATAAAATGGCGGTTCGATGAGTGACGACAAAACGTGTAAGGTTTTAAAAATGCCTATTTTTTTTTATTTCTTTTACTTTAGGAGGTCATTATCTTTCAAATAGAACCAAAGTTCAACGAAGGCATTTAAATTATTTAAAATGCGGTTTTGGGGGTTTGTTTTTAGAAAGTCTGTGGCAGTACCTATAACATTAAGAAAAATGGAAAACCTTATTTCATCAATAGTATTAAAGCAGTGGACATTCACCGGAAGAATAGAATCAATTTTTAGGACACTGCAACGTAAAAGATATTTTTTTAAACCGGAAAATATAAAGAGGATGAAAATTACTGATAAATGTAATTTCAATTCAGGATGTGTCAATAGAGAAATCTTAAACCAAATAAAAGGACAATTCAGCGACTTGGTTTAATACATTGCGAAGACATAATTCAACAGCTGAAAGTGACCAAATTCAGTAGGAAGGTTACTTGCTCTAAACATTACAAAACATACATAACTTATTAATGATACACTCATAAATATTTCTATCTCAACTCTCAATCTAAGGTGGTGGGGAATTGTTTGTGGAGCGAAGACAGAAATAAACAGCAAGACAGTCAAACACCAAATGATAAAAAATGGTTTCTGAGTTGGATCATCCTTCCGGTTAATAAATTAATGCTTTAAAAACAAAAAGTTAACATTTTTCAACTAACAGGTCGCGTTCCAGCCAAGAATTAAAAAAAATGCTTCATGATCCCTTTGAAATGTATATAAGCAAAGTTTTGAGATCAGACAAGAAAGTAAGGAGAAGGAACGGCAACAGTTCACGACGCATACAGCTTAAAAGAAATTCCCTTAATCATCTACATGACACTTATACTTTCCTCCTCACTTTCTCCTTTGGCTCTTCTTGTTCACACATACACATGAAGAAATCACATTTTTTTTTCATCTTAACAAACAAGGACTGTAAGAACTTTAGCACTTTTACGCTAAGACAAATTTAGTTGGAAAAAACAAAAACAAATATATTTTCTATTTTTCTAATTAAACATCTTTCTCACAGTTTTCTTTATTGTGGGTTGATTCAAATCCGTAACAACTATTTCATATTAATCACAATCAATTTGTTAAATAAAATTAAAAGGGAAACTCAAAAGAAATTAATTTACATTACAATATTTTTGTGGAAAATAAAATATTTTTTTCTGTGAAGAAATGGGAGAAAAGAGAATGTTTACACTCCAGAATGTCAAAAAAAAAGCTCAAATAGTAACAAACAAGAAACAAAATTACCTTGTGAAATTTGATAGGTACAAACATTTATTAAACAGATATAAAACAATATAACAAATTACAATTTTATAAAAAAGGTTTGCATGTAAATTATGAACAAGGAAAATAACATAAAATTATAGAAGTAATTGGCTCTAAAAAGATTTACAATATAATTTTTTCGAATCAGCAAAGGAAAAAAAAAACTTCGAGAATGTGAGACGAAGACTGTTGGGAAAAAAGAAGAAATACTTTAAAAAAAAAAAAAAAGAGAAGTGCACCCATCTAACAGACAAACAAAAAATCTGTGTATTTCACTCGAGATTCTCAGGGAAGTTTTTAACTTCAATGTTATTCTGCTTTCTTTCTTCTTGGGTCACACGTGATTCATTGGGGTCATTTAACGTCTTTCTTTCTGCTTTTTTTTTCCTGTTAGAGTCTCTGGAAAGATTTAAGTTATTGTGAGTCTGCCAATCTGACCTTATCGAACTGATCAAACTTACTATTAAGAGAGGAGTAAATAGTTGTGTCATCAGCATAGATACAGAGTTGAGAACTGAAGGCATCAGGAAAGTTGTTGATGAAAATTATGAACAACATGGATCTGAGGATAAAGCCCTGGAAGTACCTGCATTAATGCAAAAAAATATTCAGAAGAGTGGTTGTTCCAGGCAACTTTTATTTTGCAATTTGATAAGAAAGATTTAATGAGTTCGAAAATTTGTTCAGAAATACAATAATCTTTAACTTGTGAAGAAGACCAGCATGCCAAATCCTGTCAAATGCCTTTGAGATATTAAAAGCAACAGCCTGGGCTTCACCATTCTTATCTAAAACTTGATAGAATCTTTCAGGAATAACCATCAATACGCCAGAGATTGACCTTGAGAAGCAAAAGCCATATTGCTTGTCTGAAAGAAGAGCCTGCGAGGTGAGATGCTTAACCAATTCAGAGCTGATTAGAGTGTCTAGTACATTGCCAAAAAGTGACAGAAGGCTAAAAGGATGATAGACAGTTCACCAGAGTTCTTAAGGACTGGAACGACAGAAGAAGTATTCCAACAATTAGGAAAACAAGCAGTAGTGAGGTATTTATTGTAGAGTTTAGAGAGGACAGGAAACAGTTCATTTCTTAGAGACTCAGTAGAAAGTCAGGATATTCCAGCTGAATCAAGAGTAGAATTCGAAGTGAATTTACGAGCAAAAAAGTTTGCTTTATCATTAAATGTTGATACCTCAAACTGAGTGAAGAGAAGAGGTATAGAAAACTTACTCTTATTTAACACAGCTGCCAGTAATCACAAAAGCCAAACTTGTTAGAGGTTATATGTAGCCTCATTCTATCAGCAAAGACTTAGCCTCTTTGAGGATGCATTTACAATTATTATGAGCAGACAGTAAGAGACATCTGTTGTGATTGAAACTATCAACCTTGTACAACAGGAAGAAGGGATTCTTATGGGCTATAACAGCTCAACAATATGGCCAGGTGTCTGTTATTATGCACCAAATTATCCAATATGTTGAATTATGAAGCCAGGACTTCTACTGGCATAAGAAATAGATGTTACTGTCAAAAATTAAAGTTTAGTTTCTCAGACAAAAATGTATGAAGCATATATGCATTTTTGTAGGTACCTCCAAAATAATGCATACTTTCAGTATGTGTTAGAAAACATAAACACTGTTTTTAAAAAATTGTTGGATTTTATTAAAATTTTCAGTGTATTTTCATTAATGAATAAACTTTATATTAAATCTTTTTTATTTTTATTCTTAGGTTTTGTGGAAGTAATTTTTGGGGTCAGTTATATACTATTTTTGGAATAAATATTCGTTTTTAAGAGAATTTTTTAAAGTATTTTAAAATTAATCGTTCTTTTATCGGTGTCCATCAAATTTGATAATCAAATTAGGTGGAAGTGAATTTGTTTCTACGGTTTTTAGTTTAATAATGTTTAAAATATTTATTCAAGGACGTAAGCTATTTTTTCTTCTTTTAGCCAGGCTATTATCTTTCAAATAAAATCACAATTTTATTCAAAGAAGAAACTGACATGGAGGTACCTACTTTTGGGGGTTCTACATACTTTGCTTTTATGAAGAATAAGAAAAAAACTAGATCTGAGAAGCGAACCAGACACATTGATTGAGTAAACTAAATAGTCCAGCATATCTTGTCTACGTTTTTGAAAAAAATGAAATGAAAATAATTGATGATAAAGAAAGATAAGATAGAAAAACTGAAATTATCATAAAGGGAAAAAATTCATAATCACGAGTTGTCTCCCATGAAACATCAAATGCAAAGGAAAATAATGATGATAATATAAGTGATAACTGAAAAAAGTGAGTAATGACATCTTTGTTATACTGAAAACTGTTTTGTAATTTTATTTTAAAGCACAAACCAATTGATTAAAACGTGGTTGATGCTGCTAATTCCTACAAATCATAAAATCGACATAGATTTATATGGACTAAATGGAGAACAATTGAAGAAATCTGAAAAAAGATTTCCTCAGTGACAAATCAGAAAAACAAAAGTAAAACATATCGAGGATTATTAATATGGTGATTTTTTTACCATTTAAAAATGTTCTTCACATACTTAAGAGATATCAAATAATATGTTCTCAAAAAATTTTTGTTGGCACATGGAAAAATTATGTGCCAGAGATTTGGCCAGTTTTGGCACACACTCTGAAAAAGTTCTCCAACCCTACTCTAGCCTATTATTATCTAAGGTTGGTTATGATGTTGGTGTAGGCTGAACAGCTTGCTATACTTTCTCGAACTGTTTCAAATACTGATTACATTGGACACCACTAATAAATGGTTCAAGAAATCACACTTACCCTGAAAGAACATGTTTAACTTTTAGTAATCACTCTATTTCTAATGCTATCAACTTGTATTCAAACTTGGAAAAATACTCTAATTTGTATACAGGAATACACATATAGGAATTGGGCGCCTTGTCCTGGTGCAATGGTCTCACTAGAACAATTACGACTGGTTAGTGAGTATGGTCCTCACTAGGTACTCCATACCCTCGGCCTTGTGTCACAACTAAGCTACACTTAGAAAATCACCATATAGTATATAATAATTGAACATTAAAGATGTCTCAGCTCAGAGCTAAAATGGCAGTCCATGTATTTATTTTGTATAGCAACAGAAACACAAAATGACACAACATGTTTATTATGTAGGGCTTTGACATAAATAAATTTCTTTGACATGGAGGTACCTATTTTTGGGGGTTATTTTGGTAAATAAAATCAGAATGTAATCCTAATTCTACTTAGTGTAATGGAGAGGTGCTATCATAATACACCATGTCTTTATCAATTGAAATCCACATTTTTGCCTCTCCTTCAGTGTCCATTTAGAATTTTTTTTTATTAACTTGATACCTAAGTTTTCAGTACACTACATAATAAATAGCACCCCCAATATGATTAAAATGTAACTAACATCATCCCTCAAAGACTGGAACCAGATGAGAAAAATTGTTTTTACAAATACTCTGGTTTGAAAGGGGTAAAAAATAGTTGTTTAATTGTTTTTCTTATTTTTATATTCTTTTATGATGCAACAATTATATGTATATTCACCCCAACCACACAATTTATTTCTCTCCTGAATGAAGTGGAACATCAAATAACAAAATTATCTTATAGGTTTCATTGTTTTATTGTTGAAATAGCGAAATCTAACTATAAGTTCTATTCTAATAATTTCTTTTCTTACACATCTTGCCTGTGTCACCAATGTTCTTTGAAAATTTAAATGCAAGGTCAACTGCCATCTTCTGTCTTCCTGAAGCCTGTCATTTTATTGGCCTTTCTCCCCACTAAAATCTTCACATTCTCTTTCATTCCCAGTAACACATTGTATCTTAATGGCATTATCATCTTGCTTGGGGTGAAATGATTAAAAAAAAAAAAATGATTTGCTTGTTATTTTTTAAACATACAAAGTTAACATTAAGATATGAAAGCTAATGAATATAAAAATTAATGATATGCCTTTTACTGTAAGCTATAAGCCACACCCCAAACTAATGATCAATGAGCTGAAGTTGTAAAAAGACTTTTAAAACAGTTCTATATGATTTTGATAAATTTATGTTAAAATCAAGCCTAGCTCAGCATAAAACAGTTTACAAGAAACCAAATATTATTTTTAATATAAACTACTAAGGATTTATTGATGACCCTTACTTAATCTATTTGAAGCAAATTTTAAATGATTCTTTAAAGTTTACAATTGTTGTCAGTTTTTTAATTCACATGATTTAAATTGTATCCAGTATGCCAGCTCATAATTATTCTTGTTTATTTTTTAAAATAAGTTGTAGAATTATTCTCTTTTTATTGAAGAATTTAAATATTATATACCAGTTTTATATAGAATTTCAATATATATTTTTATGTACAAATTCTTCTGATAAATAAATGCCTCTCACTATTCTGGGAATAATTGTTGTTCTTTTGCTGGTGTTTTGATTCAATAACCATTTTTTAAATAATAAAAATTCCATTAGAAACAATGAAAGAAGTACTGAAGTGCTATGTAATGTCAGTCTTTCTATATGGCAGTGAATACTGGGCAATTTCCTCACAGATGAAGAGGAGATTTAAGGCAAAAGGGAAGTGATTCTACAGAAGGATACTGAGAATACTATGGAAAGAACATGTGAATAAAAAGTATTTTCTAAGGAAGATGGGAATGAAAAAGACACTTATACTGAGAATTAGAAGGAGACAGTTGAAATTTCTGGGACACATATAATGAGGAAAGAGGGCTTGGAAAATTTGACACTTATAGTACATATTGTAGACAAGAGAGGCAGAGAAAAAGAGCAAATAATCTAATTAGTGAGCTTATGTAAATGAATGGTAGAACATGTGAAGGATAGCAAGGAAACAAACATTGCTTAGTGCTACAAAGGATAGGAAGTTGTGGAGAGCCATGGTTACCAAAAGAAGACTTAATACATTATTCCAATCTCTGATTTATTTTAAATATTACAAAATGGGCAATTTAAAGACTTTGCCTTTTTAAAATATATTTTTCTAATAAGAAATTATTTCTGTCTAAATGAATAATCATATCACAAGCCCCATAAGCCATTAATGAAGTAAAGGGAACACATGTACTGCAGCTATAACAGCAGTGGTGTAACTTGGATAACATTGTTTAACAGAGCCCATCTTTCTTCTTTTGAATTCAGAGTTTTCCTTCTCCTAAGTAAAAGAGTTCAGTTTGGTCTGTTATTTAACCCATAGCTGGAGGAAGATGGATTCATGTCTTTTCCAAGAGGATTTACACAAAGTGAATGGAACAGAATCAATTAAAATTTTGATCTTGGCATGTTAAATTAACTTTCCACACTGATAACAGTCACATTATCCATGCCTCCTGAATAAACCATGCTGTTAACAAGTAATAAACACAATGTCTACAGTTAACATAAACATTAATCTTTAATTTATGGGATTATTTTCAGAAATTCAGTTATGAATTGCTTTTTTCTGCACCACAAAATGTAGAATGGTTTAATAATGAATTCACTGTTAATAGTAAAAGAAAATTCATTTTGCATGAACATTTTAGTATGTTTTCAACAAGAAATAAAATTTTCTTTTTGTAATTATAATTAAAACTTAACATAATAAAACATGTGGTGAGTATGAAAAAATAATAATAACCCCCTTCACCCACTCCCTTCAAGCTCAGGTAAGCTGAGGAAAAAAATGGAAATAAGTTTACTAGCCTATATAAAATGTTTTTATACCATTGAAAACTTTGTCTTCACAGAGATTGGCTGGTGAGTGAAAACAAATTCACAAGCCTATGTGAAATTTTCTTTGGGTCAATGAAAACCTTGTTTTCACAGGAATTAACCATTTAGCCTTGAAAAAGAAAGAAAAAGAAAACAGTGAGCCTATGCAAAATTCTTTTTAATATAAAATAAAGAAAAAAATTAAAACAACAAAATAAAAGTGAAATCATGTGAAAAGTTGTTTTTCTGTTCATGTGTACAGCATTCAGATTTTTGCCAGTGTTAAATTACTTACCAATTATATTATTGGCCTTAAAAAAGCATGTGGCACTTCAAAGAAATTTATTTCAATAATCCAAGAACACTAAATATTTCAAACTATCTCTCTTCATCTACTTTTGAATGTATGCAACCATATATTCCTTCTGTGAACAAGAAACTCTCTTATCTTTGTTTTAAACATTTTTCAATATTATTTTGTGTCAGATCATTTAATCTGTTGTATGAACATTTCCTCTTCATGACAATTCGTTGAAATTATGGACTTTTAAAATTTCTGATTTTTTTCCTGAAATGAGCTACTGACACAACTTCAAGAATCTAAATTCATAAATTCCTTATCTTGTTTTGTTAAAACTTACTTGTGTTTCTTTGTCCTTATCTGCCTTCATTAACCTTCTTACCGGGGGGGAAATCAATTGTTCATTTTAAGCCACTATAAATGAAAACATTCCAGATTTTCAGAGTCTGTCTATATTTCTGAGATGAGGTATTATGTACATTATTTACATTATTTGGACTATTGTCCTCATCTTTATTGCCATATTTATCACAACGTTTCGGCCGGTGTACGCTCCGGCCTTCTTCAGGTGGTTGGAATGTCGAACCGAACCCTTTATTTCACTCACCGGGGTAGACTGTTCTAGTTCCACGTGCCATGTTTGATGGATGTCAGTTATCCGTTATCTCCTGTTAATTTCCCTCTGAAATTTCTCCACTGCCTTAACCTGGTATTGAACTCACACTCTTTGGGTCCTGTCACTAATAAGGAGTGCCAGAGAAAAGCAATGATAACAACATAGTTGCAATATGAGCTCTGGTAAAAACATGCAATGATAACAGCAAAATTGCAATATGAGCACTGGTAAAAATGGTTGCTGAAGACATTAGGTTTATGATACCCAGAAAATCATACCCAGATGTCCTCAAGGGCACATGGCACAGTGGATAAAGGCGTTGGTTAAATCCAGTGAAAATATGGTGACAAAGATGAGGACAATAGTCCAAATAATGTAAATAATTCCAGATTTTGTTCTATGAAACTGAGAAAGGAAATTATTATATTTTTACCTTGATTCATTTCCACTTGTATTCCAGTAAAGATATTTAGTATCACTAGTTAGCCAGAGAATTCAAGATAAGTATTCAAATACCATAGTTTGTTGTTGTTATAACAACATTAATAATGATGATTGTGATGATAATTGTAAGCACTTCCAGTCCCACTAGGGAATACTGGGAGCAAGACGGATACAGGAGGTAGTTTGAATAATAAAGTTGTTAAGTTTACCACATCTTGTGCCACTTTCACTTTTCAGCAGCCAGTCTCATATAATTTATCTTTCCACCTTAAACCCAGTGGAACAATTGTATAAATGTTTGTCCAAGGAGAGTAGATTTACAAAAACTTAAAATTAGCTATTCAAAATCTTTGTCAAGTTAAGTGTGGAGTTTGTACAGATTTATATTTAATCCATAAAGATTTTTGTTTGATTTATGTAGATTTCTAGAGTTTGTAAATTGAAATCTACTTGCAAAGGTCATTAATGATCTTTAAAGCTGGAAAGATTTTGTATTTATTCTTTAAACTATAACTTGCAGTTGCTGTAGGAACATATAAACCATTTATTTGCATGGATTAAGAAGAACAAAAACTTATCAGAAAAGATGTTTATCATGTCAGTTATGACAAAGTGTGTTGACCAAATGAATACAACCAAAAGTGTATATAAAACAAACAGTATCAGTCCAACAAAATTAATCATTAAAATAAGCTCAACCAATGTTGTAGGTAAAAATGAACCATTTGAACATTGAGCTGAACAATTACCAGCTTTAATCTACTTAATTATAACATGATGAATAAGTTGACTTGAAGCTTCTCCACCCATTCTGTATTTTGTCTCACCAGTTATTATATAAAATAGTAGCAAAGATGCCAGCTAACAGAAATAAAACAATAAAATTCAAAACAAAAACTCATCATTAAAACCTGAATTAGATAATTACTAAAAAATAACACATATAGATCTCTACTTAATTGTTGGTATAATGTGAAAATTCTTTTTTAAAACTTCCAACATCATCATTAGTCTTTTCAATCCTAAATTATAAAAGAGAATAAATTTAAATAAAGAGTTCTTTTCCTAAAGAATAAATTAATCCCATGTTTATAACATATTAAAATATATTTTGTGATACTATGGACAATCATGTAGAAAAGGAAGATATTATTTTATCTTGATTTCAAGTATTTCAGTTTTATGACCAACAAATAGGTTCTTTTGGAATTTTCTAAGCAGCATCCACTTTGACCAAAAGTGTAACAAAGATGTGAAGAAGTAGATGTGTGTTCAAACAACAACAAAACCAGTTATCTAGTATTTCTCAGTACAGGTCTGTATTAGCAGTTGTGGTGAATATGAAATAAAAATAACTGTCTTTTCTCCACTGTTTTCAAATTCGCAAGCCTATGCAAAAATGTATTTTAACCAATGGAAAAGGAAGTGGCTTACAAATGAGAAAAAAGTAAGGAACTGATGTCAAATCACTTTTTGATATAAATAGGCAGAGAAAGTTGAATCAAGTCAGAGAAGCAAATAGAGAGAGAGAGAGAGAGAGAGAGAGAGAGAAAAGGCAAAAAGATGCAGTTTTATGGGTCTGAATAATACCAGTGTCAAATTACATGCTAATGCATTATCAGCCTCTATTGAGAGCAGAGCAATTTCAAAGAACTCTATTCAACTCCAAACCTAAGTACCTTAAAATATATCTTTTCATTCATGCTGAATACAACCATATAACTTTTATGTGATAAACGAACTCTCTCAATTTGTTTTAAACATTTTGAAATATTTGTGTCCGATGATTTAATATGAACATTTTCTCTTCTTAACAATTCATCAAAACTACAAACTTTAAATGTTTGATTCTTTTTCCTGAAACAAGCTACTGACAACTTCAAATGTGTAAATTTGTAAATAAATTCCTAATCTTGTTTTGTTAAATATAACACATGCCTTTCCTCGTCATTATCCCTCAATACTTCACAGTCATACTTGGGATAAAGGAATTCAGTTGTGGTCCAATCTTGTCAGAGGAAAGACTCAACCATTGCATTGTTCTAAAGTCATCCGTTCATATTGCCAAACACACATCGGGATGTGTAGATGGGTAAGGATTTGGTAGGGGGAAGAGCTGATCTATAGGATTGACATAAAAGTTGTCCAGAGTGTCACCTACCAGGCAAAGCTCAGAATAACATATCTAAATATAATATTTAAAACAGGGTTTGCATTTTCATTTCTAGACAGCTTTCAGTGCACACCAATGTGAACAAGAATGGAACACAATATAAGTAAAGCATTGATCAGTCCATGTAAAGCTTAAGTACATGTGTTGTGTGTTTACAATTCTATGTTTGTCTGAATGCTAATGTGAAAAATTGATACAGGAGTTACATTAAAAAGTACACTTGACAAAGAACAGTTTAAATGAATAAAAAATAATGGCTTCAAGTTGTTTCTGAGTTTAGCTCATCTTTCTATTCTTCCCTATGGAAGTATTCAGAATGTGTAGTCCCCATAATAATGGTTGCTAAGAATGACCAATTCATTCACATGTTTCATAATGATAAAATGATGATGAACAAGTTGCTTGCTATTAGGATGATACATTGATAACAGGATCAGAAGACTGAATATTTGGCTGGCCTTAACAGAGTGGTAAACAAAAAAGTCAGCATCTCATTTCTATGTTTGCTTGGACAAGTTTTAATTTATGATACTGTCCATCATCTACCTGGGTTATTTAATTGACTCTGAAGGCTTGCATGTTGTAGAAAAAATCTGTGTCATTCAGGATACACCAGCTCCTTGCAATATGACAGAATTGAAAGCTTTTCTGGCTCATTCCAGTTTTTACACCAGGTGTGTCTCCAATGTTACATAATGTTAAGCGAGGTTATCTGTTGCAGAAATGTGTCTCTTAGAAATGCAGCATCAACAGTATTTCAGTAAACTAAAGATTTGTTGCAAACCAACAATGTTTTGACTCATTATGATCACAAACAGAAACTAACTTTGACCTGGAGGCCAGTCTGTATGAGATAGGAGCTATTTTGTCAGACATCTTAACTGATGGTTCAGAGAAATCTGTTGTTTTTGTTTCCAATGTACTATCATAAAAAGAACTATAATCAACTGGACAAATAGGACCTGAGCATTATCTTTGGGGGATCAAAATTTCCATCAGTACCTCTTTGTGTGTATGTTCTGGATTTGCTTACATGTATTCATCTGATAAAGGTGATGCTGTCTTTGCTCAGAACTTTTAATTCAATGTCTTTCAGAGGAGTCAGGTGCAGAGCTGACCTGAGCGATGACCTTTTCGCCAGGAGTGGAGATCAACAATTTATCAATGTGAGCCTCAACATGTAAATGTATGTTCAATGCAGCTGCACCTGGGATATATGCACATAAGAAAGGACTTATAACATACAGATAAATAAACCTAACATGGACAGTTTCTTATATTCACATGAGAATGTAGGATTCATGTTCAGAGAAGGCCTGAGAGCCACAAAACTCACTGCCCAACTAAGAAGCACAAAAAATTATTTGCAGTGGCAACCATGTAAAATAAAAATAAAGAATGTAAATGTAAGGGATCACTTACTTTTGCACACTTTAATTTTTGTTTTTAATTAATATTTTTATTTTAGTTTGATAAAAATTTTATAAAGTGATTGTATTTCATTTAATAATGGTTTTTCTTAATTAAAATTTGTTGATTATCTGGAAAAAAGAGATAAATATTTTAAATACTATTTTAAGAGTTCACTTACTTTTGCACAGCACTATATATATATATATATATATATATATATATATATATATATATATATATATATATATATATATATATTATTTTCTTTTCAAAAATATGATTTCATCGTGACACAGAAAATTTCCATGTTTAATTATAAAAATTCAACTTAAAATCCATAGTCTCATTACCTTATTAAGCGATGTTAGGAATAAACTTTCAAAGAAATTTACTTAATTTATAAGCACAGACTATATTGATATTATGAGATGTTAAGGTTAAGGAAAATCTATTTTAATTTAGGGGTGGTTGGGTTTTAATTTCCTTAGATAGGTAATGTAGCCAATATATGTTACTTACAAAGTAAGGTTAAGTTTAGGTGGGATGGGGAAGCCTGCTAACAAATGTATATTTCTGTTATAGAGTGAGTCATCTGGGTTTTCAATGATAAAGGAAATTCTTGGCATTTTCATTCATCCACTTAATTCATGTTTTTATACACAAAGATTTTCTAAAAGGGTCATTTAAATATGTGCAAGACATATTATTAATATTTAAATTTTATTTATTAAATTTTATTCTTACAGATTTAAAATACCATTTAACCTACTAGTAACTAACAGAGCTTTAGGTCATTAAATGACCCTTTGTGCATACATGAAAAATTATACATTAAGTTTCTGAAAAATAAAAATATACAAATCAAAGAAATGAAATAGCTATTTTTTGTAAGCACTGTCAAATATTTTCCCTAAGTAATAATTAATTTCGAAAAAATAAAATAATAAAGAATAGAGATGAAACATACATTTTTATATTTGAATTTTAATTAGTAATTAAATTCTAATATATTTATTTGTAAAAATACCGTATAGTCTATTAGTTATTAGTAGGTTGAATAGTACTTTTAATCTATAAGAATAAAATTTAATTAATAAAATTTAAATATTAATAATATGTCGCAATGGAATATTTTTAAAAAGAAAATAATTATAATAATTTGCTCTACTGCTTGTATTGAGCACTGTTTTTTAAAAATAAAAATAACTGCTAAGAACACCAGATTATAAATCTTACTGTTCTTTCTTATTATTTTAATACATATATGTATATATGTATATATATATATATATAGATAGATATAGATATATATCATTGCTATTAACACAAAATATTTCATGAATGTGAGAGGAAAATGAAAAATGTATGTATGTATATATATATATAATTATCTAAAATGGTAATTCAAAAACGAAAGAAAATAAAAATAAACATCTGACCAGTTTTGATTCATCTCTCTTCAGAGCTCAATCACAGAAATAAAACACATGCATTCTTTTTCTATGTGCTGTGTCCCTTCAGGACATTGGCAATCACAATTTCCTGTCCTTAAGAAATTCTGGCTTTTTTGTTATCACTCCTAAACCCTGATCCACCATCAGCTTGCATTGTTTCCCCCCTATCCAGCATGCCTTCAATTTGTCCTACATGTATCAAATTTTCCTCATTATGTGTGTGAGAAATTTTAACTGTCACTTCCCAATGTTAAATATAAGTCTCCTTTTTGTTTCAATTTTCCCTAAAACTTTGTTGTTGTTCACTTGATCAGTCCATGGTATCCTCAGCATCCTTCTGTAGAACCACATTTATGTTGTTTCAAGCCTCTTCTTTGTCCATGAAGAAATTGTCCAGCACTCACTGCTATATAGAAGGACTGATATTACATAATGGTCCAGTACCCTTTCTTTGTTTCTAAAGAAATTTCCGTTTCTTTATTTTAGTGTTGCACATTCCATCCCCTGTTAAAACACTTTCCAGATATTTAAATTCTTGTACTTGTTTCATTTTGACATCTCCACTTTGTAATTTGCATGTTGATCTGTTCCTTTTGCTAACAACCATGCATTATCCATTGTCAATGTTAGTATTAATAAACAGAAACATGCAAATTTTAAAAAATGCTTGTTGATATGACAATTGTTGTCACAATCAAAAATGATCTTTTTTAATCAAGTTAATTAAAAAGTAAATGCTCCTATTTTTTTATCAACCCAAACACCTTTGCTTATATGACAGACATAATTGTAAGACATTAGTAGCAATGGTATCTTCATCTGGCTAATGTCTTACCATTATGTGGTAGGTATTTCTACCACACCCAGTATTTGGAAATATAACTTACTTAAATATTTTCAGAATCTGTTTTTAGCTGCAGCAAATACATTCTCTCCATCACACCATGAACTTTATACATATATGACCGGTCAATCTCATCAAATTGTTGTACACTGAAATTAGCTTGAAAGAGAAAGAAAAAATCAAAATCAAAAACATTGAAACTAAAATAGGGTTTTTTTAAAAAAGTTGGTCAAATGACATCCTGGCACCAACAAAACTGAATTCTTTTAGTTTTGAATATCTCATGCTATTAAGGTTTCAATTAAGTCCAAATGATAAATTTATTTGAGTAATTTTAAGAATTACTCAAACATTTTTGTTATTTCAATCAGAAGATTTCAAAATAACAAAGGTGATAATGCTAAACTGGAGAATTTACAGGTAATGTAATGAATGGCAGCTCAAAATGAGAAATCAGAGTTCAAATTCCATTCACTTACATGCAAATACCCATGGGAAAGAAGGCATGATTTCATCTCCCCTCCCCCCGTCCCCAGTTAGTGGTTAAATAGTAGGAATTGTATCTGGAAAAATTATTGTTATTTGCCAAAAAATTGTTAATGCAATATTCACTCACAAATTGATTAACTTCATAATTCAAAATAGGTTTCAACTTTAAATAACCCACAAAGGGTTGATAAACCATAAAAAACAAATCAATCAATGAAAAATACTAAGCTGGATAATTTAAATAAATCTAATTTCTGATGGTAAAAATATAAATATTTTTGTACATGTAGTATTGCAGTAATATAAAAAGCTGTTTCTATACATACGAAATAGTTCCTTTAGGTCATTTTCACTAACATTGTGAGGAGGGCCTGTTAAGAAAAACAATTAATTAAAAATTTTGATAAGTTCAAAGAATCATCTTTTCTGGGCAAAATCACAGAAGTAAATTATATGAATTTAATTCCTGCTTAAAAGTGATGCTTTGTAAATTTGTAAAACTCATGTGAATAAAAAAATTATACTTTCTGTGATTTTTGCTTCAATCTATCTCATTTTATGTCATTTTGAGAAAAACACATTTAATTAATGGCAAAAAGTTTTACTTCAAATTTTCTTTTACTATCTATTCTTTTATTAGTGACATGGTTTTTTTTTTTAGGGCTGGCTACATTTTCTGATGGCTTATGGCCACAATATGTTGAAACACACCAAAATTAAGTACCGTCAAGATTGATCAGTACCTAGATGATGGGTGACCAGGTGCTATAAGCTGGGATGTGCAGGTGATGTAATAGATAATGGCTTGGAATTGTTCATTGCAGAGCCAAGTTCCAATTCCTTTTAGGTTCGTTATATTCACTTATGCACAGATAGCCTAGGGAAAGGTATAAATCCACTTATTCTCCCACTAGCTGTGGGTTAATTATTAAGACTTGTATCATTAACAATTATTATCTAAAAAAAAAAAACCTTACAACCTACAAATATTTTATGGCTTAAAATAATTTACAAAGGATTGATAAGCTGTAAAAAACAAATCAACCAACCATCATTTTCTGATACTTGGGAATTTCTTGTAGAGTTACAGGTAACTAATATTATTAAAGTAAATAAATAAATGGAGATTTGTAAATAATCCACTGTTAGGGTCCCAGCTATGGGAAAATAGTTAACCCCCTAAAACACTAAGAAAGTGTAAAAATAGGTTTTTATAGTGAAAATACCAGCAATACATTTTTGAAAAATTATAACCAGCGATATATTTTTGAAACAAAAAAAAAATATTACCAGCAATACATTTTTGAAAAAAAAATTACCAGCAATACATTTTAAAAAACACATTTGTAATGATGTTGGTAAGCTGGTGTTGATGTGATATTATTTTCTGAGTGTAACAAGGTGGGATTTTGTGGTTGTATAATGAAATTACCCCATTGTTATATGTGTATTTGTAGGAGTAATTGATAGAGGAATCCTTTTTACTTTTTTATACTGAAAGCAAAATGAATTAAAACATACAACAATAATATAAGCCATAATACTTGAGACACATGCTGAGATTAATAACAAGAATTTGTATTTTTTTGTGATGTGAATTACAGATATTGGTATGGTGTGTGTTAAAAATGTTCTCAGTGTTACTGTCTCTTTTATTTCTTCAAAAGTTTGTGCTTACTTGTTTTTTTTGCTTGTTCAGAGAATTTTGTTGGTGAGGATAACATTTGAAATCATCAGTTTTCTATTTTCTGGAGGGATGAGGATACATGAGTGTTGGGCCTTTTTACTACTGCCTCTTGCTACTCTACTGTTCTCTACTCTATTGACTGTCATCGTTTGTGGTGGAAGAGTTGGTTTTTATAATCAGATTTTAGAATGATGAAATATCTTTCTCAGCTTTCATCACTGGTGGTAAGGTTGTTTTTAGGATGATTAAATTTTTTATCTTTATTTCAGGAATGGTGAAATACCCTTATTTTCTATCATAACTGATGGCAAGATTATTTGTAGAATGATGAAATATCATCATCATTCTGGATCATAACACATTTTTGAAAAAAAAAAATTATTACCAGCACCGTTACAAATGTATTTTTTAAAATGTATTGCTGGTAATTTTTTTTTCAAAAATGTATTGCTGGTAATATTTCTTTTTTGTTTCAAAAATATATCGCTGGTTATAATTTTTTTTTCAAAAATGTATTGCTGGTATTTTCACTATAAAAACCCATTTTTACACTTTCTTAGTGTTTTAGGGGGTTAACTATTTGCCCATAGCTGGGACCCTAATTAACATAATATTAACATATTTGATTCTCAATAAAAACCCTCTTTAGAAAAATATGTCAATGAAACCTGATCTACAAACTGGTTTCTTACAACAAATACATATTCTATTCAAACATATCCTAAAAATCTTGTGAGCATTAAATAACCCATTGAGGTTGATATGCTGTAAAACAAAATAAACCAAACTCAACCATCAAAACTATTTGACAGAAAAGATTTTTCATCACTTTAAAGAAATTTGTTTTATATTATACAAATTTGATTTATAAAATTTTTTATGGGTAAAAATATGCTTTATACATCAAAGAATAAAAAAATTTCAATTGGTTTTGTTACAATTGACAAAAACTGAACAGAAAAAAATGAGAAAAGATAATCATTGCGACATGTAACCTTCCATACCTGGTAATTTGCTGGTATCATATTGTATAGCTGAAATTATATATTTACAATCAGGAGACATAACTTCTTGGATTAGTTGAGAATATCTGCAGATTAACAAAAAAAAATATTTTGACCAAAAGTTTATTAAAATTTATAACAAAAAGAATAAGAATGTGTTAATCCATAATCTGGTTAACTTATTTAAATCCTATACATTAAGAACAAATTGAGTTTATGATATTTTAAAGTGGGTGTGCACATAACATAGCATTATAAGCATGGAAAGTGGAATTGGCATAATGAATTCAAGTTCTGTGCATTCTTTTTTTGCACAAATAATCTTTGGAAAGATATGATTCCATCTATTCTCCAAAATTGCAGAGTAGACTGGGATTTCTAGTCTTGGTTGGCAACCAGTGTAAGAGATGAACAACTTTGAATTCAAAACCAATTTGGTGCAGGGTTGGCACCATGTATAAACCACAGCAGCAATACCTGGCATGGTAAGCCTGTTGTCTTATTCTTCACTGAGAAGTCATTAAAACTGATGAAAGTCAATCAAAACTATTAATATTTTGATGTCAGTTATGAGGATAAATATTGGACAGTTCAGAAAATCAGTAAAATGTAAAATGTAACTTTGGCCTTGACATTATTTAAAAGATATAAGATCAAATATAGAAAACTCAAGTAAATATTTTTAAATGCCATACCCCTTCATGATATAAACAATCATGGCTCTCCACAATTTCCTTTCCTTTATTATTTGTGGATTGCCATGATTTGGGGTGGGGATAATAGAGTAGTTTCTCATTGATTTCTCCATTGTTTTGAATTCTTAGGCTGGCTTCTATCCAAGGCTATAGAGCTCAGTGTATCCTGCTGATTAACTAATAGCTAGGGGCAGAGAAGAAATGGACTCATGCCTTTACAAATGGCATTTGTGTTTAGTCGAATCAAAAATTACCTTCATCAGAATAAGATTGGTAATGAAAAGGAAAGATTATTTTTAGATGTTATTTCATAAAAGTAGCCTTCTTCAGCTGATATCTAAAAGATGCTTTTTTATCATATTTTCTAAAAAAATTTCTAATACCATTATAAACAATAATAAAACAATCAAAAAGCTAAATATTAATATTTATACTGAAAATTAATTATCAAAGTCTATTAAGAATGTTATTCTCTGCTTCAAACTAGATGTCTTTCTTTCTGATTCACTCTACATCAATACCAGTCAGGCAGATGTGAATGCTAAGAAAGGAAAAATAAAAAGTTGGTCTCTGTGTATCACATCCAGCTCACAAAAAAAATATAAAGAGCCAATAACAAACATTGCAGCTAAAGCAAAAAACATGATAAATCCATGCTGTCTACTTTTAAGAATGCTGCTCATGAGACTGTCAGTGAGTCACAACAGTGGACAAGATGTCAACATTACCACTGGTGAACTCAGTCAGCAGACCTGACATGTGCCCTACCAACTCTCCCCTTCCCCCAAGTCGCTTCCCACATCCACAAAGGGACATTCTACCTTGATTCTCTATATTAGCAATGTGAAGAAATTTATCTTAACAATTCTTGTCTTTTCTTTTGTCGCCTCATCAGAGGTAGTTGTTGTTTCTATTGTTCTCGTGTGCTGACATGGATTGTTTCAAATTTGGTACACTTACAGAGCTTCATGATAGAAATTCAATGGTACCTATTTTAAATCTCTAGGTCAAAGGTCTCCCGAGATGTGATCCTTTGACCCTTGCCAAAAAGGTGAATTTTGGAAAATAGTCACAAAGTTTGAATATCAATATCACAGCTGTTTTTTTCACCCACTAAGCTAAATTATATACCATTTTAAAGTACTTGGATGGATCTAAAAAGTGATCTACTTATTTTTTTGTTTAATGGTCAAATAAGATAATTTGACCTTGACTCTAACATTTGACCTTTAATTTCTCCTAAAACAAGTCTTTAATTTTTTTTAAAGATTTCACAAAAATTTGTCAGCTTTATGGCAAGATAGGTTCAAAATTTTGTGGTGGACTGTGGCCTGGGTTATAAGGGTTTTACTGAGTTGGGCCAAACTCAAAATAGCAGGTTTTGGTATTTGCCACTATATGTTAACATTTTCATATCTCCAAATATGGTCAAGTTGTATATTTTTATATCTGTATCAGCTGATACTGAAGTACATTCAGAAAACTCAGGTAATGCTGTTAATTTTATTTGACAATGGGTTTGCTTGTTAATCTCTTTGTAAATGTAAGGAATCTTTTTTTTAAATATTCATTTTAATGTATCACTTTTTCAGATCAAAACTTAATTTTTAAAATATGCATAAAAATACTGAAAATTTGATTGTTTTGTGCATTTAGTGTACTGTGTCAAATGTTAACAAAAATTTGTTAACAATTAACATTATTTGTCACATATTTTTATATTATTTTGTTATCTTAACATTAATTCATAACACATTTTAAATAATTATTTTCATCATGTCACTTTTTCAATTAAAATCTATTTGTTATATAATAAAAATGTAAACAAAACCAAAAATAAGTTTGTTTATTTTCCACCGAATTGGTCAAAATTTAACCACAAATAACGCAAATTCTGTTCATTTTATGATCATAGTTCTCATGTGAATATTAATCAGCATTCAAAGAGCTTTTTAAAGACATACCACATGACCATATTGGGAGATATGAAAATGTTAGCACATAGTAGTAAATACCAAAATCCGCCATTTTGAATTTGCCCTAACTCAGTAAAACCCTTGTAACTCAGGCCACAGTAAAAAGCCTACTAAAAGATTTTGTACATATCTTACCTAGAGGCATAAAATAGGTACCATTTAATTTCTATTATGAAGCTCTATAAGTGTACCAAATTTGAAACAAATCTGAGTTGGTTGATGGTCAGACCCATGTTGATTTGACACAGAATGACACATGCACATTTATAACAAGAAGAACTTTGTTTGATTGGAAAAATGGAAAATCTTTTTTGTTCAAGTTTATGATAAAAGATGACTTACTAGTTTAGAATCTATATGAAAAAATTTATTAGCATTTGCAGTGAAAATATTTCCCAAGTTGTATACCTACTTGATTCTATCTTCAATATTGATTGCTACAACAGAAGCATGGTCCCAAATGGCATTAAAATGGCCCTCCATCTCTCTGAAATAGAATTGGAAATACATTAAGATTTCATTAAAAGATCATTTTATTGCAGAAAATAAAGATTCTTATTTTAAAGAATACTGCAATTTTTTTAAAGTTAATGGGCTTTGTAATTAAAAAATGATTGAACAAATGGAAATTACTTAAAAATTTTCATTTGTTCAAATCAATTTTTAATTTATCAAAGAGAACTCTAAAAATATATTTTGCTCAAAAAATCATAGGCTTGTAACAATTTATAATAACATCTGCAAATTGTCCAGTCATCATTCATATACACATAAAATGTTTTCCAGATAATCTGACAAGAAAAACTATAACTATTACAAATTAACTTTAAGCTTTGCAATACATTGTAAATACTAAACAACAAAATAACTTTGAGACATTTAAATAAAAGAGAACAAAAATAATGCAACAAACAGAAAAAAAAAAATATGTTTTTGTATCTCTAATATTTAGAATGGAATAAAAGTATCAGGTTTTATTAAATTTATCTTCAAAGTACAGAAAAAAATATTTGCTCAAAATTTCAAAATTAAAAATCCAGGAAGTGCTGAAAAGTTCTCAACCCAACTCACTTTGGAAAGGGCTTCTTGGTTGGCCAAAAAACTTTTAAACACTACCAAATAGAAAATTACTTTTCATAAAATGTATAATACTTTAATATATTAAGATTTTATGAAAAGAGAAATTGTTACAATAGAAGTTTTTCAAGCTACTGATATAAAAAATGTGTTTTATGGATTAGATTAAAATACTTACTTTGTGAACAAATAGAAATCCATACAGTACAATTTGATTCTGCCATCCATTGACTACAAGTCAAAAAAATATACAATGTTTATAATAATTCCAAACAAAAGAGAACACTTCAAAGAAAATAGTTTTCAAAATTTTATTCAGGCATTTACTATTCAGGCATTTATTTTACTTTTGACATTTCTATTCTGTAATATGATAAACCTAAAAGCAACTAACATTGTATGATGATTAGAAATTTCAATTTATAAACCAATTTGCTATAGTAAATGTGATCCTTACTGCTGATTTCTGTATTGTGGTCTTGTGCCAGATGAGTAAATAACTATAAGTCTTCAAATAACCATAGGCCTTCAAGCTTTCTAGGATGGTTCCAACATTCCATTAACCATTAATGCCTTTTAAGTTTATCTTCTGTATATATTTATTTATACCTTGCATATCTTTCTCATCTTCATCATTTAATTTATGTTTTTTGTATTGCCTTCCTTCATGTTATTAGAAAAAGAGGAAGAAAAAAGTTGTCAACACTCACAAGTGGTGTTACACATTTTATAATTTAACAGTAAATTGCTCCTTTTTTAGCAGGAAAACGGGGGTAATAAAGGAAAGGAATGACAGGAAAAAAGAGAATGAATAGAAAGCGATATATATATATATATATATATATATATATATATATATATATGTGTGTGTGTGTGTGTATGTATAACATTTCACACTGATGTTTTCAAAGTTGTAGGGTTCAGTTTGTTGCTTCACTTTCAAAAAACAAAAAGAAAAAACATACAATACCACTTGCACTCTTCTATTTCCTTACCTTTTCTTCCTTTTATCCTCTCTCCTTCATTTACCACCCACCATTGTATACTGATTAGCAGCAATGAAGGGACAATTGGAATTAAGTTATTCCACAATGAAGGTTGGTTTGTAATATAAAGATGTTTTGAACCAATTCTCTATGCAAGTTATTACTATATCCAGAAAGGCAATCAGGTGTTTGGTTTCCTCTTCAATTGTGAATTAGATTATAATTCTTACCTAGTTCACATAGTCAAATAATATTAGTTCATATTCCTGGTCAGGTGTGAAAGTGTTATCTATGTATCTCAGTCAAATGGATGGTTTTAGTGGTGTCATTCCTCAAGCTATTTCCTTGACATATTTCATGTACATATTCACCCTCACTGGTAGCAATGGTGAACCTAAAACCAAGATTACTTACTTTTAGTATGCATCAGATCCTAATTAGAAGACTGTCAGAATGTTAACATTTTCATTAGGTTATCTATTGGGATACTAGTACGTACCTCAAGAGTTGGATACAATTCCAATCTGTTTTAAACCACTAATAAAGAAACATTTGTAAAAGCTGTAGCAAACAAGCTCACTACATCCAAACTTACTATCTGAGTGTTATAGATGAAAGCACCTTGAATCAATTCCACAGTTCTTAACATATGATGAGGAATTTTCATGCTTCATATTTCATGCATTGATTATATATACTAGAAATCTGCACCATGGGTAGCATGCAGGCCTCTGTAGCTGCTATAGGCCTCAATGGAATACCAAATGTGTGAATCTTGGGAGACTGTACAAACGTGGCAACTTAGTATAATGTTGTCAGCTGTCTATACTTATTCATTGAGTAGTCCTTGTTCTTCTTTAGGATCTGTGACAGCTTCCTCTTATTTGCCTTACTGTAGCTGATATCCTAAACTAAGTTTGCCAATTTCTCTGAGTAATATCTGAGTAATTCATGCTATAAAGATTTTCATGGTCAACTTTTCTTCCCTTATGATGTTTGATTTGGAAGGCTTGGTCTTTTCTAGTGTCTGTCACACTTTCTGTCTTAGCCTGTCCTCCTGGGACTTCAAGGCAATTTTCTCAATTGGAAATGTTATATGTATGAAACTAATCTGATGGATGTAGCCAAGTTGAGACTCTTGTTTAGCATTGTTTCCTTACAGACATTCAATTAGTAGTTGCTGATTTAGTGAGTCTTGACCCTTTCAATTTCCACATTGTGTTACTTATCCAGTTCTTGTTGGATTTTGTTTTTATCTGCCTTCTTGTTTATTTAGAGAATTCACATAATTGCTGATGATTTTACCATCAGTTAGGAAGAATTCTTTCCTTTCATGAGGGAGTATCTTGCTTTTTCCACAGCACTTTGTGCTCCCCTGAAACTGACTGATGTTTTGTTAAGCTTGGCGCAATTAATTTTAGGTCCCTATATTTGTATAAGAATGTTAGGTGTCCATGATAATTTTTGAAGTAGATTTTCCAATCACCTCAATTTGTGTATTACAATGATTCCATCTGTCAATTTAATTTACCATTATTTCAAATAAGATATATTAGGTAAAAATCAGATATTATATGAAAAATTAAACATATTTTACTAACAGTTTAAAAAGTATCAGTTAACAGACTATTAGGAAATTGCTTTCCAGAGCCATTTAGAACAATGCAGTTAAAAGCTATTAAAAAGCTGCTTCATGTGAAAAAGAAAAATGTCTTAAATATAAACCTTAAATAGTTTGCCATCCACATTTTTCAATTGCTCTTCAGTATATTCCAAATTTTGCTCAATAAAAAATTCTTGAAAAGCCCGTTCTGCTATATCCACACCAACTACATAATGCCCTTGATCAGCCAATCTGAAAGGAATGTAGGTACAATGAAGAATATTAAATCAGAACTTCTTTTACAAAAAAAAAAAAGTGATTTGTAATAAAATTATAATTGATAGTTAAAGAAATGGTATGATCTAGTCATATATACAGTGTAACCCGGATATAAGAGACCCGGATATAAGAGAAACCCGGATATAAGAGAGATTTTCTCTGGTCCCAAATTAGAGCCTGTGTTAATGTATATAAAATAGACCAAACTCGGATATAAGAGAAACCCGGATATAAGAGACTTCTTCTCCGGTCCCGACAACTCTCTTATATTCGGGTTACATTGTATATCTATAGAGTTCAATATTTTAATGACAAAGAAGTTGACAAAGGTAGATGCTACCCAAAAGTTGCAAAAAACTTAATGTATAAAAATTTTATATTTTTAAATTAATCTTTAGTGTAGTAAATTAATGTTTAATCATCTAGATTGTTTTATTTTTACACGTGCCTTTGAGAAAACTGTATTTTTGCACCAGATGGGTTGTAAAGATAAATTATTGCAGTTGTAACAATCTATTTTAAAATGAACGGTTAAAGAGCTGCCAAAATTATTTGTGAATTGCTGCAGATTCATTTTTTTTTTAATTTATGCAGAAATAAGTGTTCAAATTTACTGGCCAATGAGAGATGTGCTCTAAGGCTCTTGTGAAAACCTCGATGGAGCCAGTGTGACACTCCATTGTTCAATAGAATGGATTGCTATAAGCAGATAAAGCCAGAAAGCAATTAACTGTCAAGGAGGGAGCTTTGGCACTCACACTTCAAGAGCAGAAGATTAGTCCAGCCAAAGGGGTCATAAATCAACACAGGGAAAAAAAGAAGAGCTGACAGATTCAAACCCCAAGACTGAACATTCCTTTCTGCATCTTCTTAAGAAGAATTTAAATGAAATGAACATTCAGGTTTAACTTTCTAGAAAAATACTACATAAAACCATCCAGACAACAACTTGTGGAGAATATGAAACCCCTTTGTGCTGAGACATTCTTGTTCAGTGTTCATGTCAAGAACTGAGGTGGGTGTGCTTTGTATTTTCTGCCTTGTGCCATTTTTTACTTCCTCAAAGTTTTTCCCTTTTTTCTATTTTTAAAGAGTGTAATGTTTTTTATCATTGAATCTCTGCCTTTTTCTAAAATGTGTAACATTTTTTCCTTATATCTGATGGTAATCCCTTTTTTGTAACGTCTGAAATGTTATCCTGCCATAATAGGTGCACAAAAGGAAATTTTTGTGCAAATTCTGTATTGTACCATTTTTTGCCTTTAATTGCATATTAAATGTTTTTCCATTAAAATTTTACACAGAGGTTGAGTCTTCTTTGTGATTTGTTCCTATATGACTTCAAGAAGAAGAGAAGCACATGGTCTCTTTTCACTTTCTATTCCTACCAAGTAAGTTTTTTTTAGCACAAGAACTTAGATTTGATGGGGAGTTAAAACTTTTATATTTTCCACAAAAACACAAATGTGGTCTTCATGTGTTTTTTTTTTTAAATTTTATATTTTGCACAAAAATGTTTGTTAATTCCCGAATGCAAATAACAAAATTTGTGTTAATTTGTAGGATTCAGCTGCATGAAACTGGAAGGAAATTTTTTGTACTGACTGGCTAGATAAAGTTTCAGTTAATTCTGATTAAAAAAAAAGTGATTTCTGCCTTCCCTTGAAACAATTTTTAAAGAATTTTTCAAAGTAAACTAAAAACTATGTAGTTGTTTCTTCAAAAAATATTAATATCTATTCATGCAGTATTGTGACTGAATTAAACTAAATGTATTTGTTAACTAAATGTTAACATTATAACTAAACTGAAGAATTTATGTGTAAATTCTGCCATTTATTTATTTTTTTAAATAATTTTAAATAAAAGTTCTTTTTTCATAAAAAAAAAATAATATCTATCCAGTATTCCAGAGTGAAGTTACTGTGTTAACCAAGTGTGAACTGAGAAACATAAAACTGGAGAATTTTATGTGCAAAATATTGCCATTCTTTTATAAAAAAAAAAAAATTATTTCAAATGAGAATTCAGTATAAATTAATGAAAGCTACAAAAATTCTGTTCTTGTAAAAAATTCAGGACTAGTATTTAAGACTGGTGTTAAATTGTGCTGTGTGTTAATTTGCAAAACTTAGAAAATTTTTATGGAAAAATTCTGCTGTTGCTTCTTTAAAAAATATATATATATTAAAATCTATTCAGTATTTAAGACTGGAGTTACTATGTTAACTTTTTTAATTAAACTGGAGAATTTTATGTGCAAAATTCTGCCATTCATTTTTTTAAATTATTTGAATGAAAATTCAGTATTTACCGAAGTAATAAAAATTCTGCTTTGACGTTGAAACCGCTAAGCATATTTTGAGTCCTAAATTTTCTTTGGTATAAAATTATTTGAATTTAAATTTTAAATTAAGATATCTTTAATGGAAAATTATCCAAAAATGGAGCAAGTTTCTAGACTAAAGAACAGGAGATGTAAGATCAAAGAATGGCTTCAGAGGTTGATAAACTTAATTATGGCCAAAGTAAGTGTACTAAAATACTTCTTCACTCTACAGGAAAATACTGTAGAATCTTTTACAGATTAAATAATTGATATTTATATTGATTTATATTTTGTCATGAAAAATATTGAAAATGAAACTATTCATGAAAATTACACGAAAATATCTTGAAATATTAAAGAGCAAATTTATTCCATAAAATTGCCATTGGCTTTAACCACAGCCTCCAGACAACTTCAAAATCTCCTGCAGCTCTTCTGGATGGTCTCCTTGTTTAAGTTGGTGAATGCTGCCATAATCCTTTCCTTCCTTTCATCTTTGGTGTTACAAGTTTTGTTGGTCTATTGCTCAACTGTTCCCCACACAAAATAATCAAGGGGGTTGCAGTCTGGAGAGTTAGGTGGCTATATGTAAGGGGTGATGTTGTCGCAGAAATTGTCTGATAGCCATGATTGGGTGCTTTTGCTTGTGTGGCATGGTGTAGTCCTGTTGCCAGACATAGGGTCTTCCAGCAGCCCACCCTCATGAACCAGGGCAGCACTACCTCCCCAAGGCACTTGATGTAGGCGTCCATGTTGAGTCTAAGGCCTTCACCAACAAATTCAGGAGTTCTTTTCTTATCAGAACAATCAGAGTGACTTTTTCAAGTTGCCATAACTTTGTGATCACCATTAGATTCATCCAACTCTTTTCAAATCCTCTGCAGATTGATACCCAAACACTCTGAAATGTTCATATTAGAGCTTCTTGTGCAAATGCTAAGCAGTACAGCATTCCATTTCCAAATTTTGGGCAGAGTGAATTGTGTCATGGTGCTCTTTTTCACACAGATGGTGCTCAACTGACCCTAGTATAATGTGCAGTCAACAAAAACAAAAACAAACAACATGTATGCACAAAATTAAAAATATAAAATGGTGACAATTTACCTGTTGCAACCTGTATATAAACAAGAGCTTAAGGTTTAAACTAAAATATTTTTAAAATGTGTCAGTAAAAGTTGGTCACTAGTAACATTTCATGAGGAACTAAAAGTATTTTAAACTGCAAAATAGTTCATAAGTAAACAAAGCAAAAATGTTGTTTACACAAATTTCTATATAATTTTGAATCACAATAATTCTTTATTGATAAAATGATATACAAAGATATTACTTTGACTTTTTCATTTAAACAAGCAACATGTCTTTGTGTTTATTAAATATGCTGCAACATGTCTGATTAAAATTCATAAATGAGCCACATGAAGGAATAAATTATAGAAAAGTCCTGGCTAAACTTATCTGAGGTAATATGTTTGTGCTTTTTGTAATTAAAATAAATTTTATTAAAACTTACTCAAACTTTATAAAATTTAACTTACAGTCTCATGTCTATAGTCTTTCCACATAGAGGGAACAATACTTTTACTCCTGTTCGGCCAGCAATAAATTTGTCTAAATGTCTTTCCAGTGATCTAAAAGAAAAACATCATGAAGTTAAACATTGTAGAAAAATCAAAACCTTTAAAAAAGTCAATGAGGACAGTAAGAATAAGGATTTTTCTGTTGAGGATAGTCTTTTGTTGGCAAAACTGATTTTGCATTCAATTTAATTTGGATCAATTACTTACATATGCATTTTCTCTGAGCGGAAAAATGTCTTTCCCTCCAACCATTTATTAATCCAATATTCATGAGTTTTATTTTCAGACATCTTAACTTTTCTGAAAAACAAAAATTAAAGTTATTTTACACCAACAGTAATAATTTTGATTTTACATTATTCAGACTGTTGTCCTCATCTTTGTTGTTATATTCACAATGTTTCAGCTGTTGTACGTTCTGGTCTTCTTCAGGTGACTGGAATTTCTACTGGGGTAGATTGTTCTAGTTTCATGTGCTATGCCTATATCTCAGTTTCAGTTATTTCCCTTTACCAACTCAACTCTTCAGGTTTTTGCTCACCTCTGCCGTAGCCAGATATTGAACTCAGAACTCTTTTTGTCAAGTCACTGGATTACTTCAACCAACACTTTTATCCACTGGACCATATGTCACATACTTTTTTATCCAACTTCCATGTTTCTTTTTGTGATGTTTATTTAAAGATGGCAATTTCATTTGCTTTACTCTCTTTAGCCAACGTTCTTAATATTCTGTCCTTTTTTCATTTTACATTTGTAATATTAACTTCAGTTGTTGGCATTATCCTTTTTTAGTTGAGGCTTTAATGATAACTCTCTAAATTACATTTAAACAAAGACACATGGTCATCATACCTGAAAGTCACAAATGATTTTTTTACTGTTTGGTACATCCTTAATTCCATCAGGTTTGGAGAGAAAGAGAAAGAAAGGCAAGCCAGGATACATCAAGATAATAAAACTAAAACATTCTTTGTGTATCAAATAGAAAAAAAATTATAACAAGGAAATAACAAAAAAGAAATGGGAAAATATGATGTTGTATGAAATGTTCATACTTGAAACTGTACAAAAGTTTGAGTCTCTTTCAAGATGATGAAATATGTCTTAGTTGTGAAAGTTGTATTTTGGATACATTCATGCAATGTTTTCTTAGACTGACAAAACAATGAAAACAACTGAAATGTCTTGTGATCAAAGTCTGAAGAGGGAAAAAAGGGAAGGGGATCACCACTTTTTTATACACTCTTGCAAAAAAATCTCATTGGCCTTGTGGTAGCCTGACGTTATGTCTATTTTTGGCCATGGAAATAAGTGTGACATGCAGATTTTAACTTCCACTAGACTCTACAGTTCGTCAAATATTTTGGGGGATTCTTTACTATATTTGATTCTTATCCCAATAATATTTCTCCAATTTCTCCCACCAAGACTCATTTTTTTGGCATTAAAACCAGGTTTGTTTGTTTGTTTTTTTTTTGGTAAATTCCTCTTTCTATTATTCTATGATCGTTTCTTTCTAAATATCTGGGATGAGAAGTTATCATTATTTGCACTATTTATATTCAGACTATTGTCTTAATCTTTGTTGCTGTTATCAAAACATTTTGACTGTTGTTTAATCTTTTCACAATTTCCCATATTTCATTTCCATCAATTAATAACATTACAATATCTTCTTTCTCTTTTGAGGTTGTATCTTTCTTATCCCCAATAGCAATCCTTATATGAGAAATATCACTAACTATACTATGATGTATATTTATTCATAATGTAATGGACAAAATTTGAGTTGAAATAATAAAATTTCATATTCCTAAATAACTTACTACAAAAATTCTTTATAAAAAATATTAAGTATATCCTGAAAATCTTAGTAACATTGGTTTGTTAATAACAATTTTATTGTGAAAACACTGACTTCATTTATGAAATCTACAATTATACAGGGTTATTCAGAAAGAAAGCAGAGTTTGAAAATTTAATAAAAATGAATGCTAAGAGATAGAAGTAACATCAACACATTACTGGATAGGAAAAGATTTAAAATTATTAAAATAAATATTTTTCAATTTTTTTTAAATGCTATTTTTGTTGGGATTTTTTTTTAAGATTTTGTATAAATTTAAATAGTTATTAAAAGAGGATCTTTTTCATAGACTGTGGCCTCCCAGGTCACTAGATCTTATGCTATGCAATTTTTATCTGTGGGGGTATATAAAAGAAGGTTTGTTTGTTCTACCTATGCCTACTATTCTAGAAGATTTGTGACATTGAATTGTTGAAGCTATGAACTTAATACCACAGATCAATTGATTTGAGTGTAGTAAGTGGAATACTGTCTCAATGTTTGTTGTGCAGCACATGGTGTCCATGTTGAGTACACATACAAGTTGAACAACTTTAAAATAATAAACTTTAATTTATTCCTATCCAGTAATGTGTTGAATGTGTTTTTGTCTCTTAGCATTTGTTTTTTCAAAATGGGCTCTTTGTTTTTGAATATCCCTATATATCTATAAAACTTTAAAATGGTGTACAAAAGGTACAGAGTAAAGAAATAATAATAATAATAATAATAATAGTGTTCAATGTGAAGAAGAGAGCTTTCTTTATAAAATTATGTAATATATTTCCTGTTTTCTACCCTCTGCAACTGAGCTTCATATAAGGATAATCTAATAATGGATTTGTCTTTGCCTGAAAATTGTCCATATATAAAACTAAAAACTCACAGTAGATAGAAAACAATACAACTTTAGTTCACTTCATGTTTTGTCCACATGTTTTTGTTCATGAGAATTACTTGAGAATGTTCCTAAGTGCTAGAGAAACTAACACTTAAAAAAACATAGACAATTTCTGCATTTCTTCAACCAACTATTCATGTCCTTTTATTGAATTAAAAATTAACAAAGCATTGCCAATCATATTTAATAATACACATAGAAGGGAAAAATTACTGGCCAAATATGTCAGTTGAAGACAACAATTTTTGAAGAATAATTAATGTTACCATCTTTGACATTCATGAAATTTTATTCTTGATAAGCTGGTTATCATTGAAGGTATTAAAGTAAAAATTATTTAATACTTAATTTTTATTCTTTTCTATTTATTATAGATATTGTTAACAAAAATTAAAGTTATTACATAACTTTACAATAAATGGCAATTTAGCAATTTTAACATATTGCTCCAGTATTTACAAAAATCTACTTGTCTAACTAAAAAAAAGACAAACTTATTATTTTCTTTAATCATAGAAAATAAAATTATGTGTCAAACAAAATTAAAAATGTCTCAAACAAACAAATGTAATCCATCTAGTATGGAAAGTCCAGTCTAAAACTTTATTCATATAAGTATTTATTGAGAATATGAAAATCACTAATAGGAAGCTTTTGAGAAAAAGTAAATTTTAAAAATATTTTCTGTTTTTTTTGTTATCTTCCAGACATTAAGTCATAATTTTAAATCTTTTTGCTTGAGTACAAAATAAGGCAATTTTTTCCAATTATTAAAACTATGGCTGCTTTTACCTTTGATCTTAAAAAAATATTGATAATTTCATACAATTTTATCATGATATTAACAAAAAAAAAACAAAAAAACAAAGCAAGTTTTCTTTTTGTTACAATTGAAATTTAAATACTTTAATACTCGGAAAAATGTTTTTAAATTTGTCACTATGAAAAAAAAAAAAAAGGAAATCTGGGAAAGTTATAGAATTAAACATAAAAAAAATTTGAGATATTTTGAGGCGGGTGGGACACCTGTTCCCAAAAATCCAGAAAACTCTCCGACGAGAAGTTACTCTTTAGATAAAAAAAAAAAAAAATCTTCAATTATCTCAATACAAGAAAAAAATAATATTTTTAATTTTTAAAGTGGTCTTTAAACCCCCACCAAAAAGAAACCTAAATCATAAAAAAATAACTTCATGTCCACTGTTTGTGCGTTTTTTGTTTGTTTTTTTTTGTTTCGTTTTTTTTATGGCACAAACAAATACGAACATCAGTTGAAAAATAAAAACTCACAAGAAAAAAAAAGCAATGATAACGAAAAACAAAACAAAAAAAAATGACAAACATTGAAAATTAAACCTTAACTACGCAGTATATCACCTTTCGCTTTAACAATATGTTTCTTTTTCTCTTTCAGTTAATGTAATTTTTTTTTCCTTTCAGTTAATGTAAATCTAGATTTAGATTTTATAATTTGCTGGAATGTGTAAACTTTGAAGTGTAAACTAAATGCACTTAAAGGGCAGCAACTAGGCCTGGACTATACTAGGAGAGAAAAAGGATATTCAACCAACCAGTCAGCAAATTTGATACCCCAATATTTCGCGGAAAAAAACCCCCCAAAAAAAAACCAGCATAAAGGCACCAAACTTAATAAAAAACAAAGTTTTATCATTAAATTGATAATGTTATTAATAAGAGGAAAGACCAAAATATTTTTTATTATTTTATTAAATTTTTTAATCCTTTCTAGCACTTTCGAAATTTTGGTTAAAAAATATCTTGTTTTTTTGTTTTGCGTTAGCGGTCGACGTAATTTACGATTAGTGCTTACGCGCTTTTTCCGGTGAAAAACACATTGATTTAGAAATTCTTGCAAAAATCAAATAATTGTCGGATTTTAATGAAACTTTCAGGACTTATTCATAAATGAATGAAATTGTTTTTGAATTTTTTTAGAAAATCTTGGTAAGAATATATTTTTTACCTTTTAACAACCAACCCACCCCACACCACGTAATTTACAGAAATTAAATTTTCATCCGAATTAGTTATTAGTTTAAAAAAAGCAGGACCCCTGTCATTGAAGAATATAAATCCATAGTTTTTTTTCAAACTACTGCTCATTTCCCGAAAATCTGCTTCAAATTGTAAAATACAAAAATGCAATAAAACTAATTAGAAAAACTTTTAATTGCATTTTTATGAATAATAACATTTGTTAAGGACACTATTGTCTTGAGAAAATTTTTTACGATCAATAATGAATTTTTACAAGATTTGTTTTCATTTTTTTTTTAAATTTTAATTATATAAATCTTTTAAAATTCTTGAAATTACTTTCATCCGGTTAGGTATTATAGTTATTAAGGGAAAAACTATATTTACTAATCAAAAATTGAAAAGTTTAAAATTTTTTAAAGTATGAACGACCATACGTACACGACATTATCAGAAAATAAGAGCGATGATTATAGTAAATTTAAAGTCAACATTCTTAAAATTAGATTACGGAAAATATTTTCCATCATTTTTAAGATTACTGAGTACTTAAAAATTACAAGAAAAAAAAGCACTCACGTCATTTTCTTAAATTATGTTCTACAGGCGCATCAAGTCGTGAGAAAGTGACTGGAATCGAGATGCCAGGTCATATCACATTGCCTATCGGTCTTTGGATTTTGTTTCGAACGTCGAGATGAACAGCGGGGGTACCAAACCATATATGTCAACAATATTCAATGCAAGGACTAATTGTAGATTTGAAGGATGGGCTCCGACGAGAAAAACCTTCTGGTACGACACAGAGAACCAACTTTCCTTGCGGTAGATGAACCTATTGATTCAATGTAGTTGTTCCACCTCAGGTCAGTGGAAAACGTGAGACCAAGAAGGTTTAGAGAGATGCTCTCGTGAAGGTGAGCACCAGACATGCTAATAGGAGGCAGGGAGGTTTCTCTATGGTGAGTAAATGAGATCAGTTTCGTTTTGGAGGCATTAAAGTTTACAAGCTATTTCCTGCCCCAGTCAGTCACAGATTGGAAGTCCTTTTCGACATCAACGGCTAGGTTAACTTTGCTTACTGGAGGAAAAAAAAAAAAAGACACTATCGGTTTCGCTAGCTCTCTGAATCCACGGACCGCTAAATAAACCTATTCGTATTCACCCTAACAAGTTAAAGACCAAATACTAAATTGCCGACGAGGATGAGATCGCATATTAATCGAATCACCTAAGCGTCCATATTTTATCCCTCTTCTCCTCCGGCACACTTGTGCAACATTTCTATCCAAACAGCACTCGATTTCAACTGCCTCGCTGACGGCATAGCTGTTCGCTGGAGTAAATGGATGAAGAGCCCACGGAATCCAGAATGACCTACGCCAAACGGGATTACGCGAGGGAGAGACCCACTACAACAAACTTGTGACTCCCCTCGACATGATTTTTAACCCACAACAAAACTGTAAGCATTATAAATTCATTTTCCACCGGAACAAAAAGCAACGATATCAACGGCTTTTATCATGAACTGAGGCAACTTTCCCCAACGTGTCGACGTTAATGCGGAAATCAAATCCCAGATCAAACAGGATACGAAAAAAGGGACTTACTAACCCAAACATGACCCTACACAGAGACTACTGCAGTTCGCCCGAACATTGCAACTAGTGACCTCCCAGGATCAATGAATGACTGAACCCTACCACCCTGCCGACATTAATCACATCAGCTCCTAAACAAAGCGCCACACAGAAAACTGGAAACAAAAACGTCATAACTGTGGTGGCACATGGCCACAACGTGTTAGCCAACGGAGTTGTCCTGCGTACAACCGTCGCTGCAACATGTGAATGAAGTGGAATCATTTTTCCTACTGTCTGCAGTTCGCAGCCAGCTTGTGGGCAGTCGCAGCCCGAACCCCGACAATCGCCACCAAACACAACCCACAGCAAAATACAACCGGATATCGAACAGGGGGGTACATCATCTGAAAGACGACGATGAGTCAGATGATGATACCGAATTTGTGTACAAAGTGGCCAACGCACTTCAACATCACCACTGGATCAACCCGCCAAATATTGAATTTTCTGGCTGTCTTTGGAGACAGTCAACATGATTTCCAAGACAGATTTTGAAGAATGGTCTCCAAAGCCCCAACTGGAGAAATCTCGGACCATAATATCAGCCTATAGCAACAACAAACCCATAAAAGTACTAGGCAAATTCCAAACCACTCTATGTGTGAGCCACTACCTAACGGGCCACAATATGCGTGGCGACCCGTGCAGAAAACCTCCATCATAGGTTGGGAAACATCAAAGAGACTCAGACTCCTGTCAGCTAGAGACAGCACAATGTTGTTAATTCTTCAGAGGTGAATCTCAATCAGCATTCCAGGCACTCCTAGGGAAATACGCAGATCTTTTCAGTGGACTTGGATAACTAAATTGATAGACAAATCGAGTTACAAATTGAGGCCATTCTCTCTGAGATGCTGAAATATTGATGGAAGGTTGATGTCATTATCTTCCTAAGATGCTCCAAAACAGAGGATGTCATCGCTGACATTGAAAGCCTCTTTGATGTCTGCAAGTGTTTGATGCACGGTCTCCTGGAAAAACTCGCTCGCAGAGCTAACCCTGAAAATTATGCATTTATATCTGTATAATCCCAGATGTGTTGCAAAGGTCGTTATGTATCTAGATTCTTCAGCTAATTCTAGTTGGTTGTATTCTTAGTTGAGGTCTAGTTTACTGAAGATCTTCGCTCCTGATAACATTGAGTTTGCCAAGGGTTGGTGTTGCAATTCGTTCTCTTCTTATGGCTTTATTCGCCTGTTGAAGGGTGGTAGGGCATTGTCCTTGTTGGCCGATTTGTACACAGATTTGGTCTCATCATCTGACTTGGAAGTGATGTACCCTCCTGTTCGGTCTCCGGTTGTATCTTGTTGAGGGTTGTGACTGTCGACATGCTGGCCGAGAATGGCAGACAGTGGAAAAGTGATTCCACTCCATGCACGTGTTGCAGCGGCGGTTTTGCACAAGGCAGCACCGTTGGCTATCATGGTGCGGCCATTTGCCACTACAGTTGACATTTTTGTTTCATTTGGTTGTATTGCGATTGGTTTCGGTCTGGTGACGCTTTGTTTCGGAGTTGACGTGATTAACGTCGGCAGGGTGGTGGGGTTCAGTCATTCATTGATCTTGGAGGATCACGAGTTGCAATGTTCTGGCGAGCTGTTGTCCCTGTAAAAACTCCTATATTTTACGGCCAATAAATGAAGCACAAACAAGTAAGAGACGCCTACAAATAAATCCTACTAAAATCAGTTGATATGAAAAAGAAAAAAAACTTTATAATTCTGTACGACACACGTACTTGGTAATTGTTTTCTGGAACCTGATTGGATATGACAAGTTACGTATGTTTCAGCCAAAAATCAGATAGATTCCGTGAGCAGATCACTTACTCACCATAAGCCATAAAGACAGAGACCAGATCTACAAGACAGTCAATGGACAGATCTGAAACAGGAGAGTCAGCAGATAGATCTGCGAAACAAAAGAGTCAATGAACCAACCCATTCTCGACACACGCTACCATGACAATGCCTCAACCAGTAACGATTTTTCTACCTACAACGCCCCGACGAAAGCAAGTTTTTTTGTCTGTTTCTTTTTGTTCACTGTGTTGTAGCATGTGCTTCACACACACGCATATTGGTTAACATATAATTTTGAACTTTGTCGACTCATTAGCAACAAAATAACTTCGAACTTTGAAAAAAAAAAATTTGCAACAATATAACTTCGAGTTTTTCAGACTCATTTGCAACAAAATAACTTCGCAACGTTGCAGATTCACTTGCAACAAAATAACTTCGAAACTTTGCAGACTCTGTCGCAACAAATCACATCGAACTATTTAGTCTCTTCATGGCCACAACAAAGAACATTCATTTACAACATAAAATTATAAATGTTATTGTCATATTTAGCTTGGTCTTCACCCTTTTCTCCGAAGAACATTTCCTCGCTTTGTTTTGATTTTGTATTGTATTTGTAGACAGGACACTCGGATTTTATTTTTCCATCTAAAATCGGGGTAAACTGCCTAAAAAATCATTAAAATACCTATCCAGGGCAGTCACAAGTCAGTTGTACTGTGTCTCCCCCTCGCGTAATGCCGTTTGGCGTCGTCCTGGATTCCGTGGGCTATGAAGTGAATTTCAAATCGCTTCACTCATTTAATTCAGCGGACAGCTATGCCATTAGCGTAGCAGTCGAAAGTCAGGTCTTGTGGGATGGCCGCCATGTTGATAGAACTAAAAACCAGTACACAAGTGTGGTTGTTTAGGTGATTAGATGCAACCTCATTCTCGTCGCCAATGTAGTATTTGGTCCTTTAGTTGTGAGAGCAAATACGAATGGCTTTGATTAGCAAACCGTGTTCGTGGATTCAGAGAACTAGAGCAAGACCGATAGTGTCTGGGCTGTATTTTTGCTGTGAGGGTGGCTGAGTGTCCTTTTCCTCCCTGCAAGCCGTCAATATAATCCGAGCCTAGTTACTGCCCTTTAACTGCATTTAGTTTTAGAGACACTCAACACAAAGTGGTAGATGTTGACCATTCCAGCAAATTAAAATCAATGATTTAAACAGAAACTGAAAGGAGAAAAGACGGAAAAGAAGGAATATTGTCCAAGTTAATGTGAAAGAAAGGTAATATGCTGCGTAGTTAAGTTTTAATTTGTCAGTTTTGTTCTTTTTCGTTATAATTGCTTGTTTTCAGTTTTTCATTATTTTTTTTAATCTTATTTTCGTATTTGTGACATAAAAATCGAACAGTGGACATTAATTTCTTTTTTATGACTCCCCCATGGAATGTTTTCTGGGTTTTAAATTTTAAAATGTTTGTGTAAACTAAACAAAAATAAAAAAAATCTATTTCCATCCATATTCCATAGTGACAAATTAAAAAAAAAAACATTTGCATAAAGTAAAAGTAAACTTCAATTACAAAAAGAAAAAAAGTTTTGTTTTTTCTTTCTTTTTGTTAACGATGTCATATGAAATTTTAAATATTTTTAAAGATTTAACCAGTAAAGCATCCATAGTTGTATGCAGTAATTGGAAAAAATTGCCTTATTTTGCACTCAAGCAAAAAGATTTAAAATTATGACTTCTAACTTATGTCTGGAAAATAACAAAAAAGCAGAAAATATAAAATTTACTTTTTCTCAAAAGCTTCCTTAGTGATTTTCATACTTATATGAATAAAAAGTTTTTAGATTGGACTTTCCATACGAGATGGATTATTTGTTTGTTTGAGACATTTTTAATTTTGTTTGACACAATTTTATTTTCTATGATTAAAGAAAATAATAAGTTTGATTTTTTTAGTTAGACAAGTAGGTTTTTGTAAATACTGGACTTATAGCAATAAAAAAATTGTTAAATTGCAATTTATTGTAAAGTTATGTAATAACTTTAATTTTTGTTAACGATATCTAAATAGAAAAGAATAAAAAAGAATTAATTATTAAACAAATTTTTACTTTACCTTCAATGATAAGCAGTTTGTCAAGAATAAAATTTCATGAATGTCAAAGATGGTAATGTTGGGGACGTGCAGAGTTTGTTAATTATGTTAGAAAGAATCAGAAGGAATTTGATTGACTTTCTGCATCCCAAACAAATAAATAAATGAAATTTAAAATGCAATTGAAAAACGAGACATATTCAATTAGAAATCAATACAACATTTACAAATCAAACAATATACAGACAGGATAATTGATGTATGTTGTGTAGGCGAAATGTGTATGCGGTTTCTTCAGATTTCAGAATGTCTCTCTTCGTAATTGTTCGTTCATTTGGAGTATTTTTTGTTTGAATCGATATTTGCGATTGTTGATATTAAGTGTCTTATAGAGTTTTTTAAGAGTGATCTACTTAGTTTTAACTGTAATATTTTTCTAAGGTCGTTCTTTCGTAGAATTTACTTAATAAGTAGTGAATTTGATTCACTTTTTAAGCAAAGTTGAGAAATGATGTACACAGAGTTGACTGAATCTTGATCGAGTATGAGTCAGCGATGTATCTTTTTGCGCGGCAAAATTGTGATTCGTAGTGACGTGGAGTATTTTGGAAGGTTCTCTGTGAATGCGTGTTACTGACTGCATAAAGTTGGTAATTGTCTTTAACGTCTGGTCAGCAATGACTAAGACGGGAGTCGGTGAATGTTACATCTTGAAACTTGGTAAATTTATTTGCATTAAAATACAAAATGCGGCACAAGGCCAAAAGGGGGTGGGGGATGACGGTCTTCATCTGTCTTAAATCTAAACTTAGCTAGTCACAGACACTGACCCAAACATGCCAACAATACTCCATTCACCAAAACAACACAATCACTCCTACCTTTCTTACTACGTCCACCATAATACCTCAGATTCTCTATGACGTCCTAACTAGTCCCCTTATTTACAGATATTGATCATGGGGGAAGGGTCATAAAATAACAACTTTTAAAAACCCCAAATGAATATTTACAAAGTGAATTAATTATTTACAATAAACTAAACAAAATTGAGTTAGTAATAAAACCCCCCACAAACTATGAATGTGGCAGAAATATCAGTTAACCGGACGAAATCGATGCGGGACTAAGAAAATAAGGGCACATTCAAACCAACAAGCGTTCACACAAACACTCACTCATTCATACACAACAATAAATACAAAAATACACACACGAAACAAAAGGCGCCCCACATCCACCAGAGAACTGACATCACTAACCACCTAATGAGTGAGGGGATGAGGAATTAAACAAAAGAAAAAATAGGGACAGAAATAAAAGGGACCAATGAGCTTGCATACCCTAGCTAAGTTAACCGGGAAAAAAAAAAACTAAAATTCAAAATTGAAAACCTAGACTAGCCTAATATCTGGGTGGGTTGCCTATGTTCAACCCTGTTAGGACAAAATCCTGTACCTAACCGACATCCAAATGCCACTCTAGGTCAGCCCCTTTCACCCTACACATTCGCACAAGATTCACCCACCTTTTGCCAAATTCTGATGATGGGGAGCCAGCCTTTCCGTCCTAATCTTGACTTTAAGCTGATGCTTAAAGTACAAGATCAGTTGGGAAGAGGTGAACTTCTCGCCTTCATAGAATCCCTTCTGTTGCGTCGTCCAAATCATGACTTCGCATAACCCTAGTAAGCAACAGAACACATAGTGTTCAGCCTTCGTCAATTTGCGACACCACATTGCTACAAACAGAACTGGCTTCCAGGACAAAAAACTTTCCCTGCAGCATGCGAACCATGAAGCCTTCAACAAACTTGCTAACGGCACTACTGTCTTGCACTGAAAAAAGGCGTGACCAATGGTCTTGACTTTCCCAGTACAGCGACGACAGTTTGGATATTTCTCCAAGGCTGCTGAACAAAGTCTTTTGCCGACCAAGAGGGCCCCACAAATCATCAGCCAGGTGAGTGATGCCTCATCATTATTGAGACATTTCAACCCAGGCGCCCAAGGCCATATCAAGCAAGCCTCCTGCTTCGTAAGACCGAGCTCGTCGATCAGACCATCTCGAACAGATCCCCTAACTAACACTCGATATAATGATTACGAGACAACGCCTTGGGCGTCGGAGAGGCCATCCGACGTCCGCAAGAGGGTTTCAAAGCACGACGACATTCATGGTGAAGGAGCACTCGGACGCAGGGTGCGACCGGCCTCCTCCTCCATACAGTGCACACTTCTCAGGGACGAAATGTTTTGGACATCTTCTTTCAAAAGGTGCCCACCTCATCAAACTACGACACATTCGGTCTAGAAAGGTGTCTGAAGCATATATTGACGAATCTCAATGCTAGGCATACCCAGACCACCCTCAGAGGGATGAAGGCAACAGATCTCGCGAGATACCATATGGGCCTTGCCTCTCCACAAGAAAGAGAACAAGGCTTTGACTAATGACATTAGTCGGGTATACGGAGTGGAAGCACAGAGAGTCGGTAGAGGAGGATCGGATAGATGTGTGAAACACATACTTCTGCCCTTCCCTTGAGGGAAAGTCTCCTCCAAGACCACAGATTACCCTTGGCCTCGCCCGCCTTTGCACCTCCGACCAATTCATTTCAACTGGAGATCAGGACCGAACCAGGCGCCGAGTATCTTGATCGGCCCATCCGTCCAGAGGAAAGGTCCAGGAAGAGAAACTCCCTTCCACGCACCCAACGCAAGCCCACAGACTTATCGCTGTCACCATCTCATACCCACTGATCTCCTTGCTGACCGTCAATCTCGGCTCTGCTCGACACAGAAACGAAACGTCGTCAGCATAGGCAGAAATACCTGGCGAGGTGGAAGCACCAGGCAGCGAAATACCACGTAGGACCGGATTCGCCTTTAACTTGCGAAGGAAAGGTTCCAACGCAAAACGTAAAGCAGAGGCGATAGCGGACAACCTTGACGAATGGGCGAGACAATACGAAAGGCTTCGATCTTACCCCATTCACTTCCACCAGCGCACCGGGGGTTCGCATACAAGAGTCGGATCAGGAGCGAAAGTCGGCTCTGAAACCGGCCGCCGAAAGGACAGCCTCCAGAAATCGATGGTCAACCCTATCGAAGGCCTTTGGACTGATCTAAATTGATCAGCGCAGCTTCACTGTCGACTTGTTCTAAGATCAAGCGTACCATATGAAGGTTATCCTGAATAGTCCTGCCCTTCACAGCACAAGTCTGTTCAGGGCCAATCAGACTAGACAGGACAAGCTGCAAACGGTTGGCTAAGATCTTCGCCAAAATCTTTAAGTCAGTGTTTAACATTGTTAAAGGCGAAAGTTCCCTATTCCATCCCCACCGTCCTTGTCCTTACGCAGCAACTTGATGACACCCTGGTGAAGCGTTGAGGTAAAGACCCTGCCTCATCCAGTGGTTGTACATCAGTCCCAGCAAAGGAACAAAAACGTGCGCCAACCTCAAGTAAACTTCGTAGGGAAGACCATCTAATCCCGGAGACTTATCCAGGCCAACCTGCTTCAGCGCTTCCCAGATTTCCGACTCTGTTATGGGACCCTCGCACCTAGCCACTTCAGCTGCCGTGAGGCAGGAAAGTCAGCTAAATAGGCGTTGAACTGAGCAGAGCTCAGACCGGGCTCCCTGGTGAAAAGATCCTGAAAGTAATCGAAAGACCTCACATATGCCCGTGTTTGTAGTCACAGTCCGCTTATCCGGTAATGTGGACGCGCTTATATAATCGCCTAGCCGCGTTCGATTCTCCTCTACACGCAGTTCAGCGGCCATATTAGTAGCCTCAGAAGACATTCTTTTTAACCTAGCCCTAACTACCAGAGCTTGATCCTTCTTGATAAGCAAGGAGGCCAACTCTGCCTTAGCTAAGGATATGTCCCCACAAACACGGATTTCACTGCCCGATCGACTTTATCTTCTAAAGCAGTTTGCGCCGCTAATCTATCTAGATTGAGTCGGACGACTAAAATCGGCAGCAAAGCGTTCGAATTTTAGATTTTAAATTGCCCCACCAGGCATTTCCCACAACCGCTCCTGTCAATTCCTTTGTATCATTAGTAACAGCTGGTCCGAAACCCTGATCTCCGAAAAAGTGAACAGTTCAATTTCCAGTAACCAGCCAATCTAACCTTAAACTTATCTAAGTTTACACGAACCGGACAAGC